TTTCTTTCTTTCTTTCTTTCTTTCTTTCTTTCTTTCTTTCTTTCTTTATCTATTTTTCTTTAATCTTTTTGTCTGTGTTACATTACTCGAATATATTGTTGCTTGATATAAGCCTTGGCATCTACTAAAATAATTTTCATACATTTTTAAAATGTATACCAAAGAACTTACCCACCAACAACTTTGTCCTTTTAATGAGATTACATTTAATCTATAGAACAGTAAAATTCACTTCTCTATAATACTGAGTCTTCTAACATAAACATTTTATATTCCTTCATATTTATTGTAATTTTCTCTATGTTTATGATTGGGCAGATTTTTCTTGTTTTCTGTTATTTTTTCCCCAAAGTTGTTCAAACATTTTAATAGTTGTTTTTTTTTTTTTAACCTCCCTTTGGTCTCACTGTGTAGTGTTGGCTGACCTATGTAGACCAGGGTGGTCTTGAATCACTAAGATCTGCCTGTCTCAACCTCCCTACTTTTGGGATTAAAGGTATGTGCCAACTAGCCTGACATTACTATCATTTTTTTTTTTTTTTGGCCTGGCATTTTTATTATTAATTTTTTTAGAAATAGGTCTTGTTATGAAGCTTAGACTGGCCTTGAGCACTTGTTTTTTTTCCTAACGTCTTGAGATGAATGTGTAGCTCACTGATTCTTTTTCAATGACTTTTCTGTCTTATTTTCCTAATATGAACATAATGGCTTGAATTTTCCAGAGAGCACAGCTTTTGCTTCTTCATCCTGTGTTTTGTCTTTCCATGTTTTGATACATCATATTTTCATTATTCATTTTCCTTCCCAATCTAACTGTGTCAACACTTTTCTCTCTCTCCATCCCTTCCTTCTTTACATTTTCGCTATGATAGGAATTGAACTCATGGCTTCACACATATTTAGTTAAGTGTTCTTCTGCTGGTTAATATCCTCATCCTTGCTCAACATATTTTCTAATTACTTAGGCCCATGAATTTTTGCCTTCTGAAAGAAATTTATCTTAGGTTTCGAGAGTTTCCAAATTTCTTAAATTTTTTTTTATTATCTTAAATTATTATTTTAAATTATGTGTATGCTGTGGGTAGGATCTGTACATATACCTGTGGGTGTCTACCCCCTGGGCAGTTGTGAACCACTTGACATGGGTGTGAGGACTGCCGTCAGGTTTTTCTCAGAACAGTACATATACTTTTAACTACTGAGTCATCTTTCCAGTCCAGTGTTCCAGATTTTAAAATAATTGGTTTTAGGTTTATTGTTCTGTGTTCAAGATTTTTGATCTTAGGCATTTAAATTGTTAAGACATGTTAAATGGATCTGGATTTATTCTGTTTTTGGAAATACATTTTGTTCATTTGAAGGAAATACCTTACATATAACTGTTATCTTCATTCTTTTTGTTTTATTAATGTTAAATAAGAATGCTAAAGTTGATTGTAGCTTAAAATTATTGTGCTCTACCTTCAATTACTTAGGTTTTGATATCACCCGTTATGATTATATGCCTGTCACAGAGATCCACCTGCCCCTGCCTCCCCAAGTGCTGGGATTACAGGCGTGTACCACCTTGCCCAGCTGATTTTGTTCTCTTTTTTTCTCTTAATTTTATGCATTTTTCTATATTATCCAAGAAATTATGACCTGTCTCCTTGATTTACTAATGTTTGATAAACGTAATTTTCTTCCTTCTTTTCTTTCCCTTTTCTCTCTTTCCTTCTTTCCTTCCTTGCTTATTAGTTTGTTTGAGACAGTCTCACGTAGCCTAGGTTGGCCTTGAACTCATTTTGTAACTGAAGATGACTGAACTTCTGCTCTCCTGTTTATGCTTCCCAAGTGCTCAGATGATAGCCATATGCCACCACAGTGAGCAAATGGGGTGCTATTAAATTTGCTGTAGGAAAAAAATAAGTATCCTCTGGGGTTCCAGTTCCTCTCACCTGGAAGTTAGCCTTACCTTTCTTGTCACCAGAGGTGGAAGTTTTAGTATGTGTTTTCCATGGTTTTTACTGTTGGGCCCGTATTAGTTTTATGGCTGTGGTTCCCATTATGTCTTGTTGTGCCTAATTTATAAATTAATTTTATCATAGGTTTGTATATGGTCTCGGAATAAGCATGTATATTAGCTTGGTGTGCTGCCTAAGACTATAGAACTTGGATAAGAGAAGACTACACTAAATGAAGATTAGTCTGTACTTGTCCTTGGAAGTGGAGTGAGTTTTTTTAATAAAACTTTTCTTATTTCTAGGACACTTTCTGCAATAATAACAAACTTCAAGAGCATAAAAACACAGTCCCTGGTGGTGGAGATTCCATACTTAGAATAAGCACCATTGCTTCTGCTATTGCAGATGTGTCAGTGAGTACTGATCCTGCCCAGCTTGTTGCCATGATGAAAACACTCAGAAATAAAGGAAGAGGCAAGACTTTTCAGGATGATGATGCACAAGAGCCCTGTTTCACCACGCCTCATTTCTTACTCAATGATTTAGAAAAAAATAACAGATCCAATGCATTTGATATGGAGAAATACCTTACAAAAACAGACGCTAGTAGCTGTGAAGGTACACAAGAGCCCTTTTCAAGAGCAGGCACGTCTGATATTTGGGATATATGTTTGCTGAAACAGGAGATTGTTCAAGATGTCACTGTGGTGAGTGATGGTGCTACTATTACAAGAGAACCAGAGGAAGATACAGCAGCTATTGTCTGTGGTGAAAATTCAGAGAGTGATACTCAAGACTCACTTAGAACGATAGCCTCTTCGAATCCAATGCTTCCAAACCTAAGGGAGAATCGAAGCCTGGCGAGGATGGCACACTCCATTGACGGATTGTCAGATGTGCATAGCAGTGAGAAAGCTACCTCAGTTTCCATTCCAACATCTAGTAGTTGCTCATCAAGAAGGAACTGCAGAGTACCTTCCTTTTGTATTTTAGAAAAACGTGAAGCAGTACAAGATAACCGAAAACACCAAAGGAAAAAGGTCTGTGTCAGTGAGACGAGCAGCAGCGACAAGCATGTCACTTTTGATGAAGACTGCGTGGTCTTCCCTGAGAGTGTTGGTAAGGACAGCGACTGATCATTGAAATTGTGTGGGTTGTGTTGTTTGTTCCTGTTTGCTGTTCTTACTGGGAAATATACCTTTTTAGTAGGTTTGAAAAATGCCTCTCCTGAGAGTGGTGGATCTGGCTTTGAAGACCAGGAGAGCTTCAGACGGTCTGCCTCACCACTCAGTCATTCTTCTTACTCTGGAAGCTTATCAGGGTAAGTGCTTACTGCAACTTTACTTTTATTTATTTGTTTCTGTTATTTGAGAATTTCATAAGGCATATAATGTGTTTTGATTAAACATACCCCTACCTGCTTATTAATTTAAATTTATGCTATGCTATGTGTAAGAAAAATCTGTCATTTTTAGGTTCATCTCTTAAAGGTAGTCCTTAAAATACTTTTTGAATTTTTCTTTTTTTTTTTTTTTTTTTCTTTTGTTTTTTCAAGATAGGGTTTCTCTGTGTGGCCTTGGCTGTCCTGGAGTTGCTTTGTAGACCAGGCTGGCCTCGAACTCACAGTGATCCACTTGCCTTTTCCTCCATGAGTGCTGGGATTACAGGTGTGCACCACCACACCCAGCTGAATTTCTTTAGTTTAAAAAAAAAAAAAAAAAAAAAAAAGATTAGCCAATGCTTTTAACCACTGGGCCATCTCACTATGCCATCCAATTTCATGTTCTATTTCTCTGCTTTTGGCAAAAACAAAATACACTTGGTAATTTTGTTTCTAAACAGGGTCAGCTTTTCCAAACTACCCTAGTTTCAGTTTAATGTATCTATATTCCTACTAGGTTTTCTTCCCTGATAGCCTATGTCCCTCAAATTCCAGAGGGACATCTGATTTCTACTTTTGACAATGCCCCCTGAGCCCACCTGCCATATAAGTAGTATTTGTGGGTAATTTACTCAGGGATTTATTGTCTATTTCAGAGAACCACAGATGTTTCCCATCCTTGTTTATGGTTTAAACATACGTGTGTGTCACTGACTTTACTGGCTGCTGCTTGCTGCTTACCATCAAGCCAGCGTGTACACAGATTGTTCTCTGTTTCTCTTCTTCACCCCCACTGAGCCCAAAATGGAAATGACTGATATCGATGGATCTTCGAACGGGGGCTTTCAGTTATTATAGTATACAATAAGGGACAGATGCTCCCAAAAGCAATAATCAGCATATTTACCTTGGTTTTACCATAATCTCTTAATCTCCAATTTGAAGAGAAAATATAATATTTTCTTTTAACATTAAAAATTTATATTATTTTGGATAATAGCAAATTAAAATATTTTATAAAACATTTAAAAATAACTTTATGTTGTAAAAAAAAATTTTTTTGGCAGGACGCTAGGAGTAAAACAGGGAGGAGGTTGAATTTGTTTCAGTATTTGTATGTTTTTATGATATTTTAGGTTGTTTACATTGCTTGTTTCTCTATGTTTATATTATTCACATTATTTCTCTTTTAAAAAATAAATAAAAGTAAAAACAATTTTTATTTTTCATGGCTGGCCTTGAACTCAACAGAGATCTACCTGCTTTTGCCTCCCCAGTGCCATTTCAGTTGTTCCCACTTTATTTTATATTGAGGAGGGTCTTTGACAGAGCCTACAGCGCACCCATTTGTCCACACAAGCCAGTAAGCTTTGGCCAGCAAGCCCCTTTGGTTCCTCCTGTCTCCATTCCCTCACTGGCATTGGAGGTTCATACTGCCATAGCTAGTGGATTCTTCCTTTTCTTTCTTTCTTTCTTTCTTTCTTTCTTTCTTTCTTTCTTTCTTTCTTTCTCTCTCTCTTTTTTCTGTACATGGGTGCTGGGAATTGAGACTCACTTCCTCTTAATTGTCTGCAAGCGCTTTACCCACTGAGCCCTCCCCAGATCTAATATTGTGATTATCTCCATATTTAAAAGAAAATATTACAGACTGTATAATGGGTTGTTTTAGTTTTTTTATGTTGCTATGATAAAACATTCTGACCAAAAGCAATTAACTTCGGAGAGGAAAAAGTTTGTTCCAGCTTATACTTCCAGGTTATAGTCAGTCCATTATTGCGAGAAGTCGGGGCAGTAACTCAAGGCAGGAACCTTGTGAATACTGCTTGTTGGCTTACCCTGTGACTGAAAGAAGCATGTTTACCTAGCCTTCTGACAGTCCATGCTTAGACATGGCGCCACTTAGACAGTGAAGGCAGTCCCTCACACATGTATCCACATATCAACCTGATAAAGACAATTAAGATTTTTTCAGGTGATTCTAGGCTGTGTCAAGTTGACAGTTTAATGCTAGGACAGGGACTTTCATGGTTTATTCAGTTTAGTATATCATTTGTGTTTTGCTACCTTTTTTTTTTTTTTTTTGAGACACGTTTTTCTGTGCCCTGCCTGTCCTGGAACTCGCTCTGTAGACCAGGCTGGAGATTCACAGAGATCTGCCTGCCTCTGCCTCCTGATTGCTGGGATTACCACTATACCCACTGGGAGTGTTTTAAAAGTTTAAAATAAATAATCTTTTAAAGATTATTTTACTTTATGTGTATGAATATTTCTGAAGAAGAGAAACAGAGAACAATCTGTGTACATGCTGGCTTGATGGCAAAACATATACTGTGTTTGTGCCCACATGAGGCAAATAGTCTGCTTCTACGGACCATCTGCATCAGTCTCACATCCCACACCTGGGATCAAAACTAAAACCTGTTTATATCCACAACAATGTGGGGCATGCATAGGTGTCTGTGATTGTACTCACATTCATGAAGGTGCACGTGCCTCAATGATTGTTGAGGTCAGAGGACAACCTATGGGAGCCTGTTTTCTCCTTTCACCATGTGAGTCCTGGGAATCAAATTCAGGTCATCACATTTGGGAGCAAGCGCCTTTACTTGCTGAGCCATCTCAGCAGCCCTTCCTGTGCTGTGATTTTTGAGTTTGCTTCTTTTCTCCCCCAATCTGGAGGTTGGAGGCAAGAACAAAATAAGCTAGAAGTAACACCAGTGTGTGTTTATGTTAAATAAATATGGGTTTCATATCAAAGGCTGTTTTATTATTTTGCTGTTTTTATTTTTCTGTATTGGTACTGGGGATTGATACTTAAGTTTTTGAGCATTATCTGCCACTGTCACATCCTTAGCTTTCATCCAGTAGTTTAGTTTTTTTGTTTTACTTAATATATTTTGAGTATCTTTCTAAGCCAGAGATCAGTATTCAGCTCCATTGAGATTTTGTTATATGTTAAAAATGCTAACAAAACATTATGCCATTGAACTATATCCTCATCCCTAACAGCATTGTTTTTGGTGGTTAAAGAGTATTTTGCTGTATGCTTGTGCTGTACCTCAGTTCATCTTGTATGACACTTAAGCTTCCTACTTTATTATCAATAAGCATATCTTTTCTAAAGTGTTTTATATTTATCATTTTTTCTGGCAGACTTTCTCTCAAGTGTAGAGTATTTGAGTCAAGGAATTTTTTTCTAGGTGCTGCTTAATTGCTCAACCAAAAATTGTTTATTTTACCTTTATATTGGTAATAACACAAGCATTTTCTTGCCTTATTTATGCCATTTTCTGTGTTGTTTTTAATGGTTTTATTAACTGCTGTTTGTCATGTACTCAGTAAATTTTTATTGAATGAATAACTGTTTTGTGTCTGTTTATGGTATTTACTAACATAAAGACAGCTTTTTCTTCAATGGTAGCTTACCAGGTAGGTCGTCAGCAGGAATATATTGATCATTTTAATTAAAGAAAGTAAGTTTTGTGGTTGAGTTCCTTCACGCTTATAGACAGACAGGAGTGGTCAGTTATTTATACAGACTCTAACACCATGCTTCTGTTTTTTTCTTTCAGATGTGCTCTGGAGTCTCTTGAGTCAGCTCATCACCATAAGGGTCACTCAGAGAGTGAGTTGTTTCAGATGGCATGTTCCCGTGATGTTATTAGTAGGCTGACTTATGTGTCTGAACAGGAAATCACCTTTCCTGTCTCAGCTGCTGATGAAAGCTCAGAGGACCACAAGGTAGGTGGCACTTGGACTGTTTACTAAAAGTAAGGCTTCGAGACCAAAAGTATTAGTGATATTTGATTCATACTGGAATTCCGGTCTGTTTACCTTCTTGTTAACTTCGGTATCTTTAGAATGAATTAATGTGGGTATATATTTGAACTTAAGTGTCTACATTGGCTCCCTTCCACTTCAAAAAGAAGTATCTTTGACTAAAGTTTGAGAGCAGCATTGATCTACAGGCGTAGACAGAAATAGGAGGCCCTTTGACAATATGTCCTTTTAGCAAAACACTAGTAGTAGGTTCCCATAGAGTCCATGACCTCCCTAACTCTGGGCTTTTGACCAGGTTTCCAGTATCAGGTGTGAATTTCTTCCTGTGGAGCAGCCCTCAAATCCAGTTAGAAAGCATTTGGTACCCCAATAATTATGCCAATATTGCCTCAATGAGTGCATCTCTCTTGGTAGGTCAGTGTTGTGGCGTACAGGGTACACCACTGTATAAGTCCATTGATGACTTTTCTCTTATAGTTGGCATAACATCTTTCAATGTTGTGCAGGCTAGCCAGCAAGGAGGAAGTTTTTGGGTCAGTTCTAGCTTGATTTCAGTAGTCTCTGCAACCAAAGTGTTGTGTCTTTAGTAATAGGTTCTTACCATCTAGTTATGGTGAGCAGCTAAAAGCAGTGGCAGTAGCAGGTGTTGTTTTGAGAGTCTGTAGAAACTCCCTGACCATTAGCTTATAGGAAGGTATTCTATATCAGGCACTGGAATTTTCAAACCCATATCTTCTAGAGGAAGCATTAATTATCTTACAAAGCTGTGGGGTTCCTAAGCTTTTGTAATATATCCTCAGTTTAAATTAATCCATTTCTGTCCCCTGAGTCTCTGTTTTCTTAGCACAGTGTTTAACTGCTAAATGCTGAGGCCTGACAACTTGTCTGCTGTTTTCTCGATTACTAGCCCTCTCTAATCCTATTTTCTTCACCTTTGTGAAGGCTTGTGGTTTGAAGTCAGTGCTTATCACTTTGTGATTCAACCCTAAGGACGTGTTTCTGTTACTATTAGTAATTGACCAATAATCTGGTCTCTATCTCTATTTACTATATCATTGTTTCTAAAGCTTTGGTTTGAGTAACTTCCAATGTAACCAAAAATAATAAGTGAGAGTTCAATGTGCTCCTGTGTGTTAGTTTTAGATTGTTCATCTTTCAGATCTGTATCTTACTCCTCAGGTTGTACATTATAAAGAAATAATAAAAAAGAAACATACCATATTTTAGAGGTTGGAAAAGGCTTAGTTCTTACAAAAATTATTATCTTTAAGTTCTTCAAGCATATTTAATACAGTGTGGAAAATTAATGGGTATGGGCATGGTTTCTGAGTTAGCTTTGTACTAATTCCAGCCTCATGTCCATATCATTTGGTAGCTTCTTTGCACCTTACTTTTTTGTTTACTAATTTACACTATTTTCATAAAATTAACAAGGAATCCCTTAATTTGAAGAAAATGTTGGATGACTTTGGTTCTTTACGTAAATGTTTTAGATGTAATTGTGGTTTACCTTTTATTTTCCTCCTGTTGTAAGACTTTTATAAAGCAGGTGCAGTTTTCATGTGTAAGGCTGCATTTTATATTTGTAGTTATTTTCCTTTGTGCACTTTGTGTTTGAGGGTACCATGTAGATTTCAATTGGAGACTTATACCAGCATTGTTTGAATCTGTTATATATTGTTTAATTTATGGATTATTAAAAAACCAAAATTTGTTACATTCAGAATGATCTCACCAGTGAGTTGAGCACCACAATTATTCCAGCCAGTCCAACTTCATCAGAGGAACAAACTATGGAGAAATTAAGAGACAAAGTTCCAGGTCAGAATGCAGAGAAACATTTGTTGCCATGTATTATCCAGAATGAGTCTGGTTTAGGAAACGAAACAGAAACTCCTTCTCTGAGGAGCGGATTTGAAAATGGAGAGCCTAATTTTACATCAAGTCAAGATACTTCTTCCAAAAGTGGGGAACCCTTGGGATCCAGTAAGGTGGATTCAACATCTGGCCCCAGTGAGCAGGACCTGATTGGCCAAGTTCTCCTGAACAAGCCAGGTCTTAGTCACCGGTCTGGGACAGGCATGTTGACCCTCCCTGTACTGAGCCAAAAGGCTGTGGACCAAGGTCAAAGACTAACATCTGTTGGTCTGTCAACTGCCAGCAGTGAATCTAGCAGCCAGATTCCAAGTCTGGGCACCTCTGGAAACCAGCATAGTCTTACACCCCACATTTCAGCTCATGCTTCTGTTGCTAATGTGCAGAACCGGCCTGCTGTGTGTCCTGCACTCTGGACTGGACATTCTCTATACACAGCTTCTGTGGCACCACAGTATCTGGGGCCAGTCTCTTCATCTGGGAGTGCCACCTTGCCTCAGTGCCATGCAGGCATGCAGGTCTCTGGGATTTCAAGATATTCTTATCCTCCTGTTGTACCAGATGTGGCTTCTGGGATGTATTTAGGACCAAATCTTGCCTCTGGATTGATGGCTCCCTCTTCTATTTATAACCTGTGTTCTACTGCTGTACACCAGAACCAGCTAAGTACAGCAAGACCATTTCCTGTGCAGTCTGTTGGTACAAACTCTGAGACTGAACCATGGGGCTCAGGGATGGTGTCTGGATTTGGTAAGATGCTTTTCTTCTCCACTATTGCTTGTTGTTACCTAAAGTCTGAATTTCCTCAAATGGGTCCACAAATCTAGTTTGTTTCAAAGAAATGCTGGTTGGAATTAATTTCTTTAAGTTTCAAATTATTAAGATTTATTTTTATTTATGTGTGTGTATAGACATACATGTGCAAGTGCCTACAGAGGATCTCTTGGAGCTAGAGTTGCAGGTGATTGTGGACTGCCTGATAGGGATGCTGGGATTTGAACTTAGGTCTTCATTATTGAGCAGCAAGTTCTCTTAACTGCTGAGCCAGCTCTCCAGCCCCCTCCCCTCTATTTACTTATTTCCTTTAAAACAAAACAAAACAGGATCTCAGATTGGGCTCACACTTACTATGTAGGGAAAATGACCTTGAGCTTTTGTTTTATTTCTTACAAGCTCATCCTTTGTCTTATATTGAGAACATCAGAATGTTTCTATGAAGGGTTTACTGAAGTTGTCTTAGGACAACAGTAAACTGTATGCTTATAGTTTTTGAGGTCGTTCTGATTTTGTTTTTCCTCTTTATTTGATTTTGCTATTCTTTTATTAGGAAATGTCCTCTTTAGGATCATTTCTCAGAATGAGGTACCTTCCGCTGGTGCTTCATGGGGGTGATACTATAATAGTGAGGAGCAGAACTCTGCTCTCATTCACAGCATGCTTTTCCTGATGACAGTCATAAGGCATGTGGAGCTGAGGATTGTCCATATAGAGCTCACCTGAGTGTGAGGATAGGAAAAAGGCTAAAGAGTGCTGTGAAGACATTGTGTATCCAGGCACACATGAAAATAGAGCCTCTAGGGCTTCTCTTTGCCTGCCAGTGGCTTATAACTTGGGAAAGAAAAAGGGCATCATGGCAGCAACAGCAAAGGTTAGATTTGATGTAAATTCTCAGTTTCATTAGCTTTACTTGTGTTTTCATTGTTTGTGAAAAACAGCTGTATAGAGGAGATAGGAATTATTGGTAGCTTCCATTGAGGCCTTTTATGTCAAGGATTCTTTTTTTTTTTCTTTTAAATTTTATGTGCATTAGTGTGATGGTGTCAGATCCCTTGGAATTGGTGGTACAGGTAGTTGTGAGCTGCCATGTGGGTGCTGGGAATTGAATCTGAGTCCTTTGGAAGAGCAGACAGTGCTCTTAACCACTGAGCCATCTCTCCAGCTGTGTCACGGATTCTTACACGCTGGGCATTTATTCTGTAGCTTTTGGCTACAACTGGGTAATCCTGTGTATTCTTTTAACCAAATACTGCTTTTAATAAGATGTTTACTGTAACTTGCATTTTGACTTACTCTCATGCAGGGAATGCCACAGTACCTGAGGAACTGAAGTTTCCTCATGCTTGCTGTGTAGGGATTGCTTCACAGACCCTCCTTAGTGTCTTTAACCCAACTGACTGTTGGCTGCAAGGCAGCATCAGAATTCTCAGTGTTTGTGTGAACGGTGAGAAGGTAAGTTTTCTGTGTCTTCTTATTGGGCTTCACAGCTGCACTTTAATGAAGTACTTTACTTCCCTCTTACTCACCTTTTAAAATGAGAAAGTGTTTTTAATGCTTTGATAATTTCATACATACATACTGTGTTTTTTGGTTCCCCTCTCCTTAACCTATTCCTAGATCCACTCCTCTTTTTTTCCTTTTTTAAGTGATTAAACTTTTCTTTTGAAAGTTTCTTTTTAAGATTATTTATTTTTATGTATATGAGTGCTTTGCCTTTGTATATATGTGTGCACCAAAAGTGTGCATTGCCCACAGAGGACAGAAGAAGGGATTTTGAGCTTTAGAGAGCTTTGAGCTGTTATGGGGTCCTAGAGACTGAACCTGAGTCTGCTGCAAGAGTGTTCTTAGCGACAGAGACATTTCTCCACCCCCCCTTTTGGAATTTTTTTTTAAAGTTTTAAACTTGTTTTTTGATACTTTCTGTATTATAATGCACCCTGATTACTGTCTGCCCACCCTTTCTCATCTCACCATTGTCATCCTCTTTACCTTTACAAGGGAAAATAATGGTTGTGACACAAACCATTATTCACTGGAATTATTTATTGGTATGTGGAGAACTCATGCTTGGGTATACAGCTAAAGACAGTGAATCCATCAATAGCCTGTAGTTCAGCAGAGAAGAATAGAGCTACATGAGGGCCTCTCCAATTCATGATTTGTGTTGGTAGGCCAGTCTTTTGCTTTAATTGATGTTTTTATTTTTTCACTTTACATGTTGATTATAACCCCCTCCCTCCTCTCTTCCCAGTCCTACGCTCTTCCTCCGTTCCCCCTTCCCCATCTTCCCAGAAGGGAGAGCCTTCACCCCCACCTTTACCCTGTACCCCTGTACTAACCCACCCCAGCACATCACGTTGCATCAGGACTAAGTGCAACCTCTTCTACTGAGGCCAGACAAGGCAGCAGGAGAAAGTGATCCAAAATCAGGCAACAGAGTATGTATCAAGAGACAGTCCCCCGCTCCAATTTCTAGGGGAAATTTCTAGGAAGACCAAGCTGCCCATCAGCTACATATGTGTAGGGGCCCTAGGTCCAGTCCATGCATGCTCTTTGGTTGGGGGTTCCTAGCCCCCATGGGCCTAGGTTAGTTGATTCTGTTAGTCTTCTTGTGGAGTTCTTGTCGCTGCGGGTCCCTCTGTTCTTCCTCCAACTCTTTAGCTAAACTCCCCAAACTCCGGGTAGGCCAGTCTTGAGATCATGTTTACAGTGGTATGCCTGGAAGATAGCATTTTTTTTCAGCCTTTCTTCCTAACTTCCAGCTTCTACATTTTCTCTGCTCCCTCTTTGACAATGGTCCCCTAACCTTAGAGGGATTGGTATAAATGTCCTTCCTGTTTAGGGCTGAGAACGCAACTGTCTTTTATTTTGATCACTGTGAACAGCCAGGAGTCTTTGCATTCATCACTGTTCTATGCAAAGAAAAGCTTCTCTTTGTAAGGCTGAAGATAGGATTTGTCTTTGTGTTTAAACCTAAAAATTTAGCATTTGGTTTGGCATCATGTTTAGCTAAGCTAAATAATAGTAGTGAGTTCTCCCAGGAGGATCTGTGACCTTCACCAATCATAATTTTATCTGGTGTGCAGTACCTGGTGTGGATTTCCTTTTATAAAGCAGGTCTTAAATCAACCTGAAAGTGTTTGTTACCTGCTAACAGTCATGCCACTGTTGCCTGAGTAGCCACATCTTGAGCTGGAGCTCAAGTGCCTGTACTCAGTGAACATCTTACTGGCCTCCTTTTTGGTTTTGCTTGTTTTTATTTATTATTTATTATTTATACAGCATTCTGCCTGCATGTGTGCCTGTGTACTAGAAGAAGGCACCAGATCTCATTACAGATGGTTATGAGCTGCCATGTGGTTACTGGGAATTAAACTCAGTCAGGATCTCTGGAAGAACAGTTCTTAACTTTTGCCTCATCTCTCCAGCCCTAGTTTCTTTTTATTTTTAAACAGACTACCTATGTAGCCCTTCCTGGCCTGCAGCTTGCTATATAGATCAGACTGCCCATGAGTTTTTGTGGTCATCGTCTGTGTTTGCCTTCCAAGTGCTAGGATTATAGGTGTATACCACCGTGCCTGGTTTTTTCACCCCTTTATTTATGTCTAGTCATTCCTATCTTTCTAGTATACATAAAAATACAAATAAGATTCTTTTTTTCCCTCTTAATAAATGTATATATGCAGAGCCATTGCATATAGCAAACTCGTGCACTGCTACACTTAATTCATTTTGCTTGTTTGTTGTGAGGCTAGGTCTCAAGGCCAGCTTAGACTTGCTAAGTAGCCAAGGATGACTTTATACATACTTGATCCCTCTTTTCTCCCCTCCAAAGTGCTGGGATTAATACGCAGATATCTATGCCCAGCTTTTTTTTTTTTTTCCTTAAATCTTTATTGCTCACATAGAACTTGATAGCTACCCAAATGGACGGTTTTGGAATAGGTGCTTTTTGGTTTTGTGTTGTGTTGTCTTTTGAGACAAGGTCTTTCTCTGTAGTCTTGGCTGTCCTAGACTCACTTTGTAGAGCAGGCTGGCCTTGAACTCATAGAGATCTGCCTGCTGCTTCTTCTCCAAGTCCTGGAATTACAAGTGTGTGCCACCGAACTCGGCTGGAATGGGGTCTTTTTAAAGTACCTCATTGTTAGAGCATTTAGAGTATAAGACATCTGAACATGATTTACATTTTTATCAGTTGTACTATATATTAATCATAATTTCTTATTTACTTAAAGTAAAGTCATGTTAATTTGCCTTTAGCACAATTTTAATTCCTGGGTGTTTAGAGTTCATGGTTTTACTAAATACTATTTAATATGTTATTGTCATGTATCAAGAAAAGAAAGAAAAGAACTAAGTTACTTATTTGGGCCTAATCTTCATTTGATATATCTGTTAATTTTCTTATATGATCTTTTGAATTAATGGAAACAATAGCTCTAATGTCTAGCAAGGATCTCACATGGTGAACTACAGCTGACATTAGATTCTGTAATTTTCCTTTACTCTGATGCATAAGTTGTGAGTAGGGAGGGGAGGGAACAGGGTCAGCACTCCTGCTGTGATATGTCCATGCTTTGTCTCTGTTACTTGTCAGCCAGCACTGGGTGCTTTACTGTCTTTCTCCTCTTAGTGTCCTTACTTACTTGGTAAAACAATATTGCCACTGTCTTTTCCTGTTGTTTGACAAAATACTCTTGACAGAAACAGCATTGTGGAGAAAGGGTTTATTTTGGCTCACCGTCCAAAGGTGCAGTCCAGCATGGCAGCAAAGTCAAGGCTGCAGGAGTGTGAAGCAGCTGGCTGTGTCATAGTCAGCAAGCAAAGAGCACTAGATGCACGCTGCAGCACCACTGCCTTTCTCCACACATAGTCCAGGTCGCAGACAGGGAATGGCATGACATCCATGGGTTGGTCTTCCACTTCAGGTAGAGAAATGAAGATAATCTCCCTCAGGGATGGCCAGAAGCCCATCTCCCAGGTGGTTGTAGTTGACAGCATTAACCATAACTTCTCTGTTCTCTTCTTTTCCTCACTTTTCCATCTGTTACCAGATCATTAAATAAGATAAAAATAAAATAACTGGAGGAAAGCATTGTAAGTTGAAGGTGAGATTTGACACAGTATGTAGAAATAGAAATCATATCCTACACAGGTTTCTGGGGCTGTGAAGTACTTCTGTGTTCAGTGTCCTTTTTAGAAAAGTGTGGGTATAGGCAAATATGTTCACCTTAAAGTCCCTAGGAGTGGTTACAGTTCTTATGTAGTGAGAATAACTTATTTTCACTTATATGTGGGTGGTTATTTGCATGCTATAACCCAGGTGTATAGGTCAAACAAAGGTCAACTTGTAAACATCGGTTTTCTCCTTTACCATGTGAGTTCCAGGGGTCAAACTCAAGTTGTGAAGTTTAATATTAAGTACCTTTTACCTACAAGTCATGTTACCACCATCAAAGAGCCTTTTCCTTTGGACTGATGATACCTTTCAATAATGAGTTACAAGAGTTGAATCTTTTTATACATGTAATGAAGGTTGAGATTTCATAGTTTGACTGGGGAAAAGAGTCTTAAATTAGATGATTAGCCTTGAAAGGTAAGGTCATTTCTAACACACTATCGTGTTCTTATTTACAGGTGGATCTTTCAAGACAAACATGTTTAGTTTTTAAGAATAAATTTGTTGTAAGACCGCATGCCACCGAAGAGATAAAAATTCTTTTTATACCCACAAATTCTGGGATTTTCAGATGTACATTCAGTGTTGCTTCTTGGCCATTTTCAGCAGATGCTGATACAATAGTTCAAGCAGAAGCTTTGGGAAGGAGAGTCACTCTTACTGCCATTGCTGAAAGCCCTATTATTGAGGTAACTGTTTGTAAATGAATCTTTATCATTTGCTAATGTTTTAATAAAGAAAGAATTTGTGGGCCACAGTGTTTCAAGCTAAATCTTAGTTGTTTCTTAAAAAGTATTTCCTTTAGATTCATTTACTTTTATGTGTATGAGTGTATGTTTCCATGTACGTACATGCACCACATGTGTACCTGTGTAGGTCAGAGGAGAGTTACTGGATCTTCTGGAACTGGAGTTACAAATTGTGAGCCACCATATGGATGCTAGGAAATTCTTACTCTGAGAGTAACAAGTGCTCTTAACCACTGGAACCTTAGTTCTTAATTATCTCTCCCTCTGTCTAGCCTTCCTTCCTTCTTTTTTTTTTTTTTTTTTTTTTGAGCCAGGGTTTCTCTGTGTAGCCTGGACTTGCGTTGTAGACCAGGCTGGCTTTGAACTCACAGCAATCCACATGCTTCTGTCTCTCCAAGTGCTGGGATTTTTTTTTTTTTAATTATTGTTTTTTTAATACAGGCTCTTACTGTATAGACCAGGCTGGCCTCAACCATCCACCAGCCTCTGTCTCCCAAGTACTGGGATTAAAGGCATATGCTACCACATTAAGTCCTTATTTTGTTTTTATTCCAAGATTTGAAATTACCATTTTTTAAAATAGAACTATGAATAGAGTTACTAAAAGGACTATAAAGTATAACATTAATCTATTTTCTTATGATTTCTCTTGTATACATACTTACCTAAGTTCTAGTGGTTTATCTCCTCCTCCTTTTCTTTCTTTTTCCCATGTTGAGATAGTAACCCTTAATGTGATAATGTACCTGTTGAGGTGAAGGGCTCTTGATTAACTATTATTTGGTCATCTTTCATTTAATTTAACAATGCCATAGTGACTTACAGTTTAAGCCAGAGCTGTGGTGAGTGAATGGCAAGGCAGCCTTCCTGAGAGACTAGAATGGTGAGAATCATTCAGGGAGTTTTCCATAGTTCATATTCTCTAAGAGAATTAGTTCACCAGTTTATGCTGTAGGACATGGAGAAAGAAGTGAGCTTAGAGATGGTCTCACGTACTTCTCCATCAGCTCTGCTGTGCTTGCCATTTGCTAAGTCTGGGTTTTCACCTTTTAAAACTATTGATATAAGGGGCCTGTCTTGGACAATGTAGAATACACAGCTTTTCTCCTGTCCCCTGCCCATTAGCAATCAGTTACTGTTCCTATCTCTGTGGTGAAAACCAAAAATATCTACAGACATTCTCAGTTTTTGCCTGTTCAGGTCCTCTTAAGGACCACTGAGAAAGAATATTTCTAATTTTCTCCTTGTCAGCAAATCCATTATCCAAGGCTTTTGGACCTGCCCTTGAGCAGCTTACATTTTTAGCAGATGTGAAAAATTATGACCCGTGCAGTATTTTAGGTTTCCACGTCATGTTATGAGTGGCTCACATCAGTGGTTACTTTGCAGTGTAGAGCAGTGTTGAGTCCCAAATCAAGGGCCTACTGTACTCATCTGGCAAGCTCAGAAATACCAATGTCAGTATGACTGAGCTTTGATTTTAAAAGACAACTTTGAGAAGCACCATAGGTAGGTATAATAAGATGAAATAAGTCAGTGTAAACTAGGCCATTAGAGTTGCTGTCTTAGGCATCAGGGACTGAGAACTGGGTCATTCTTTCACTTTTGTTTAAAAGTCTGATGTGACTAGTGCTGATCTTTCTGTTACTTCTCTTTTGTTAATGGATTCCAATTTTTGTTTGTTTGTTTGTTTTCTCCACCTCCCTCCTCCCCCCAAGACAGGGTTTTCCTGTGTAGCCTTGGCTGTCCTGGACTGGATTTGTAGACTAGGCTGGCCTCAAACTCACAGGGGTCTTCCTGCCTCTGCCTCCTCAAATTCTGGAATTAAAGGAGTGATCCATTATACCCTGCTGGATACCAACCTCCTTTAACATGTTTTTGTTACAATGTCTCTTTCCATGTGTCTTCATTACTCTGAGAGCAATTGTGGAACTGCAGTGAAGGTGTGAAAGTCTCTGTCTCAGCTGGAGCTCTATGCCAGTAGCTGGTGTGGCCTAGACTTAGGCTCTGCTGTTCTTGCAAACAGTCTTTTGAAATGTACCCATTCCTTCCTGGAAAGGTTCTTTGTTGTTTTTGAACATTAGGATAGAGATTTTTAAGTTTTAATTAAAAAAAAAATATTTCTAGAAAGAACACTCTGAATTTCAGGACTTTATGTATGGTGTTTACATTTCATTCCAGATTTGGCCAGCAGGTGAAATATACTACCTTTGGAAAGTGTCAAAACCTCAACTACTTTGGGGGTTAATTAGGACCCTGACCTTCATTGGCCATTGTGGAATTCAGCTTCCACTTGCTAATGTGTCTTATTTCCTTGTAGTTTCATAAACCATAAAAGAAAAGTTTATATATTTTAAATATTGTATAAAATTTCACACAAGTGCTATGAAGGTCAGTTTGTTAGTTTTCTCTCTAATGTTAGAGATACAGCAATCTGCTACATAGTCCACACTTAATTCTCAACCTTTGCTAGGCCTATTTGATATCATTTTGAATAGTCTTTTTGTATCAGACTAAATATGAACTGTACCAAGATCTTCATGAAGTTGTGAAAGGAATTAAGGAATTAATAGTCTAATGATAGGACTAAATAAAAAGAAATTTATGAAGCCAGGTGGGGAGGCAGAAGCAGGTGGATCTCTGCGTGTTTGACAAGGCCAGCCTGGTCTACAAAGCAAGTCCAAGACAGCCAAGTGCAGGACAGCTAAGGTTGTAGAGGGAAACCTTGTCTTGAAAAAACACTAAATAAATAAGAGTTATGTTTTATAAAATGGTTGGTTTCATCTTAAGATCTAATAGTGTTTTCGAAGTAAGGGTAGCCCACATTGCCGTAATCTATAGTACATTGAGTACTACTTTAAAAGAAGACTTTAACACTTAGTTTTACAGACAATAATAAAATAAAGTGGAAAATAAAATAAAATGGAAAAACTTAGGTCTAAGCTTACCCATCACTCTGATTCTTAACTGTGGCTAAAGAAGAATGTAGACAAGATATTCATTAATAATAGACTGGCTTTTGTCATTTAGTCCTTTCTTTATACTTAGGTAGAAACAGAAAAGAAAGGGGTTCTGGATTTTGGTGATTTGACCTATGAAGGCTGGAAAGCTCTCCCACTCAAGTTAATAAATAGGACACATGCTGCTGTGCCAATCAGACTGATCATTAATGCTGTAAGTACTTAGAATTGGAGATGACCTACAGAATATATTGATTTGAAGTTATAGGCACTGCCAGTATACTCGGTTAATCTTTTGTTGTAGAAGTAAATTATATTGCTAAAGAGTATATTAACAAATGTACTGCAGTGACTTTGCTGAAAGTGATTTTTCTGTTTCTGAATAGAATGCCTTAGCCTGGCAATGCTTCACATTTTCCAAAGAGCCCGTCCGTGCACCTTTGAAAGCTGCTCCTTTTGCTGATGTGATTGCTCAGCTCGTAGCCGCATCTGTAGTTAGTCATGTGATGCCTCCCAGTTATGATGGAAAAGTAAGTTGTCTCACTTTAAAAACAAAACTGGCCTAGAAGTAAAGAACAAGTTTTCAAACTACTTTTATCTCTTTGAGATTTCAGTCTTAATATATGTTAATTTTTTTTTTTTTTTTTTTTTTTTTATTTCATAGGATCCAGAATTTCTGATAGTTTGGATTATTTTCCATAGCCCAAAGAAACTCCTCACTTCAGGTATCATATTTTTGGGGACAGTATTCAGTTCTGTAATTAAACTTCACATTTGCACTTTACTTTCTTAATAAGTAAATGACAATATTTTGAACTATTGCCAAGAATTTTATGTTGTTTGGAAAAATCGGGAAGATGGCATGATATTTGAGGTCAGGCCTGTGTAGGTAAGCAAGTGCTGAAATAAGCCAATTTTCTCTCTACTTTTCTCTCTAGTCATACTTAGGTTTAGATTGTTTTAAAAGCCTCAACTGATTTTTCTTTTGTTTTTATTTTATGAAGTTGGTTTTTTCCTATCTTTATGTGGGTTCTGAGGATTATACTTAGGTCATCAGACTTGTATGTCAAGCGCTTTTACCCAGTAAGCCATGTCCTTGCTTCTTGAATTTTCTTTGGACTCTTAAAGACATCCTTTTGGGTGACTGGTAAAATTTTGGGATCTCTTATAGTTTTGGTTGAGAGCCTAGCCTTTAACTGCTGAGCCATCTCTCCAGCGAAATTTGGAATCTCTTTACTGAACTAAAAGAGTAAAACTTTTATAGAAATTCTAGGCCCAGCAGAAGAATTCCTGGCCAGAGTGGATATAGAAGTTGACAGCCCAAACCCTATGCCGGTTCTTAGAAGTGTGGACCTCCGAGCAAGAGCAGGCATAGCTAGGATCCATGCCCCTAAGGACTTACAGGTATCCTCATCTTCTCTCTACTGTATTCTGTTGTATCCAGGTTGATATTTCTTTAATTGTGACAGCTTTTTGAATGCATCTTTGCCCTACCCTGTAGACTGTCTATTTGTTGGCCGATGTAAATTCCTCAACAAAGCAGCCCTTGCCTTTGAAAAATGCTGGGAATATTGAAGTTTGCCTAGATATCAAGGTAAGAATTTCTGCAAGAGTGCTGTAGTATTTTTGTTTCTTATTTTCTGATGGCTACTGTGCTAGTAACCTTGTCAGGATGCTATGAGGCTTAAACTCAGAATTAAGAACAATGTTGTGAAAATTGAGAGTCAGCCTAACCTGAAGTGTATCTGTGGTTGATGTTGAAGCCTAATGCTTTGAATTTTTGAGTAGTTCCTTAGAATTTTGTGTGGCATCTGTGATCATTTAGAAAAGTGTGGTCTGCATATATAGAGTTTTATTTCTGATAGCCCAGGTGAGTGAAATGGTGGTGGTTATCAGCAATTGGAGATGGGATGGGAGGAAGATTTGAAATGGAGGATAGGATGTAGGTAAAAGGAAAGAAATATACTTGTGAAGAGGAATTATAATGAGCAAATATCCTAGTTAATAAGAGACATATTAGGGACTGGAGAGATGGGTCAGTAGTTAAAAGCAGTTGCTGCTCTTTGAGATGATCCAGGTTTGGTTCCCAACACCTACCTGGCAGATTACATTGATTTGTTAACTTCAATTCCAAGGGATCTGATGCCCTCTTCTGGCCTTGCAGGCATAGCACACAACACAGAGCATGTGTATATGTAGGCAAAGCATCTGTATACATAAAAATCTAAAAAAATAGCTGAGTGGCCGTGTCTGCAGTGGCACACACCTTTAATCCCAGGATTCGGGAGGCAGATACAGGTAGATCTCTGAGTTCAAGGCCAGCCTGAAATAAAAATTAGCAAAGAAAGACACACGATACAAGAAAACGGAGGGAGAGAGCTTCCTGATGTGAGTTAAGGTGTGCTTATGTAATTGCTTAGGTCGCAGAACAAGGGAGTCAATTTTCAGTGGATCCAGAGAGTCTGTCTCTTAAACCTGGAGAAGAACATGAAGTTATAGTTTCATTTACTCCAAAGGATCCTAAAGCATGTGAGGAAAGGTAATATGAAAATGAAAATATTTATAATGACTACTTGCTTATCTACGTTTCACTCATGTGCAGGTACATGTTTTACTTCACCTAATACATAATATAATGATAGAGCTGTGCTTTAATCTTTTCAGTAACTTTTTATGTACACACAAACACGCACACACATAATGTATACACACGTAATTTACACATACATATATGTAATTTTTCTTATCACTGTTGTGTGCATGATGTGTGTGGTATGAGCATCACATGCCATGTGTACATATGTGGAGGACGACTTTCAGTAGTTGTTTCTCCTTCCACCACGAGCTTGGGGATGAACTTCAAGTCCTCAGGTTTGCATAGCAGGAGCTTTTTCCCATTAAACAATCTCACAGGGACATCTTTTGTTTTTGTTAGTAAAATGCTTTTCTTAAACCAACTAAATCAAAGTTAAGAAATTGCTATTTATTTATTTTTTATTTTTTGGTATATTCTGACAGAAATCATGAAGCATGAATTATGGTGTCCTCTTTAACATTTTTTCCCCCAGAAGTCTTTCTTTCTTTCTCTCTCTCTCTCTTTCTTTTTCTCTCTCTCTTTTTCTTTCTTTCTCTCTCTCTCTCTCTTTCTTTCTCTCTCTCTTTTCTTGTCTTTTATTTCTTTCATTGCTTTATAATTCTTCCCAGGTCTTCTCTAGGACCTGTGGCTCCTCTAAGTGACCTCTAACTTTCATTCAGAATATCATTGTTGTTTGTATTTGAACTTGACTGCATCGAGCTCTACTTAGTATATGTCTCAGAAGCACCCACAGAGGTACCCATTGCTTATCCTCAGCATGGGGTACAGAATGCCCACGTCCTGGCAATTTATCACTAGAATCTTGTGGGGAAAGGTGCACTAGTTTAAGTACTTGTGCCTCAACTGCTTGCCCTCAATCCTATGCTGACTTCCTCTTCCCTAATACCTCATCAATAAAGCCCTATGAAATTTCTCTTGTGCTACCATGTATACATTATTGTGATCAATACTTCTTTTTTTTGTGTGTACTTTTCCCCTGGAATATAAGCATTTGGAGTAGAATACTGTGCTTGGATCACAAACTCTCTCTTGGACAAAGGGAGTGTATAGGATATTATTGCCAAAAGAACTGAATATGGGACACTTGACTTGTATTTTCTTCTTTGGTTAGGATCCTGAAAATATTTGTACAGCCATTAGGACCTCAGTATGAAGTAGTGTTAAAAGGTGAAGTAATTTCTTCTGGGAGTCACCCTCTGCCACCTGACCCTCACTGCTCAGATATTCCATTGATTCTGTCTAATAAGCAGTTTCTGACTTGGGGAGGCATCCCTCTTGGTAGGACACAGTAAGTATTCACAGCTACCATCCAAGAGATTTTTGTTGTCTATCTAATGTTATTCTCTTAGGTGTTAAATACAAATATATTATTTTTTTTAGATTTGAGATAAAGCTGTCATATGATGAACCTAAATTAAAAAGAATGTGTATGTCTAATTTTAAAAATAATCTGGAACTGCCTTTTATTTTTATAGGCTCTTTGGTGTTATCAGTTGATTAAGCATTTAGGAGTATGAGAGCTCCTTTTATGGAAAGGCAGAAAGAAGATAATCAAGGCACTGTATCTTGTTTGGGAGATTGCAATCCAGTTAAATACTTAGAACATATTTCAAATTAAGTGATAATGGTCTTCGTTTTTTTGTGCATAACAGGGATTTCTTCACTTACTTTGTATTAAGTGATGAGAGGAAGTAGTTTGAAAGATTTAGGGTTTTTCATATTAATAACCTGCTACTTATATGTCCACTTATATTATAATGTCTGTAAAAAGTTGAATGAATTCAGTATACTGATGAAAAGACTACTTTGTATACAGGAGCTCATAGCCCTGACCTCTTGTTTTCCTGAAAACAAAACTGAGCAACAAATTCTGTCTTTGTTAAAGACTTGATAACCTTTTTCAGTAATTTCTACAGCTTATCTTTTAAAGTGCAGAATATGTATATACCCATACATACATACATACATATATATATATATATTTAAAAGACTAAGGCTATCTGAGAAGGTAAAATTAGAGAAACTAAAAACAACTAAAAACCTTCCCTTGTTAAGATGAGTCTTAATAAGCCTTACATTTTCAGAAACAGATTCCATAACTGGAAGGATGATTCTAGCCTATGAGGGTGAGATGTGCAATCATCTTATCTTTAGACATTGTAGGTTTTTGTTTTTTTTTTTCTTTTTTCTTTTCATTGTAGCAGTATCCATAGGGGAGGAAACATTTAAAATGTATAATTGTTTTTAGGCTTCAGAAACTAGCTTTAAGAAACAGTTCTACAAGTACAGCTCAAAACTTGCGACTACTTATCAAAGGACAGGATCAGGATTGCTTTCAGGTTCGTATTTCACTCTTTGTCTTTTCTGATTTAAATACTTCTTTTTTTTTTAAAAAAAAATCATTTATTGTGTTATTAATTACAGTTTATTCACTTTGCGTCTGAGCTGTAACCTTCTCTCTAGTCCCCTCCCAATCTTACCTTTCTTCCCTCATCTCCCATGACCCTCCCCAAGTCCACTGATAGGGGAGGTCCTCCTCCCCTTCCCTCTGTTCCTAGTCTATCAGTTCTCATGAGGAGTGGCTGCATTGTCTTCTTCTGTGGCCTGGTAAGGCTGCACCCCCCTCAGGGGGAGGTGATCAAAGAGCACTGAGTTCATGTCAGAGACAGCTCCTGTTCCCATTACTAGGGAACCTACTTGGACATGTAGCTGCCACGGGCTACATCTGTGCAGGGTTTCTAGCTTATCTCTGTGAATGGTCCTTGGTTGGGTTAACAGTCTCAGAAAGGACCCCTGTGCCCAGATTTCATTTATTTATTTGTTTGTTTGTTTGTTTATCCTTGTGGAGCTCCTGTTCCTTCCAGATCTTTTTATCTCTCCTTTCTTTCATAAGATTCCCTGTACCCTGCCCAAAGTTTGCCTGTGAGTCTCGGCCTCTGCTTTGATACCTTGTACGGTAGAGTCTCCTTGAACTCATAGGCACAGAAGATAACTTCCTGAACAGAACATCAACAGCACAGGCTCTTAAATCAACAATCAATAAATGGGACCTCATTAAACTGAAAAGCTTCTGTAAAGTGTAAAGCAAAGGGCACTATTTTCAGTACAAAATGACAGCCTAAAGATTGGGAAAGGATCTTCACCAATCCTATATCTGGCAAAGGGCTAATATCCAGAATATATAAAGATTTAAACACCTCTTATGCAACAGGGTCTCACTGTCTAGCCAAGGCTGGCCTGAAACTCATGGTCCTACCAGCTTCCACAGGCCTGTACCACTATCTGTGGGTTCTGTCTTAAGTTTTTTTTCGAGTACAGTACACTCAGTATATGTAGACCATTTGTTTTCTTAAGTTTTTTTTCGAGTACAGTACACTCAGTATATGTAGACCATTTGTTTAATTTGTCTGAGATTACTCTCACTGTGTAGCTGGCTTGGGATTCATTGTTAGACCATGCTGGCCTTGAACTCAGGGATCCATCTGCCTCTGCCTCCCAAGTGCTGATTATTTATATGGAATCCTACTAAGCCTAGACCAAGTGTTTTGTATCTGTTTTTGGTAGTGCTGGGGATGGAACCCAGGGTCTTGTAGATGGTAGGCAAGTTCGCGATGACTGGGCTGCCTCCTTATCCAGACCAACTGAGTTTTTGTTGGTTTGTAGGCTTTAAAGATTTTTAAATTTTGTTTTATGTGTGTGAGTGTTTTGCCTGTATGTATGTTTTTGTAGCGTGTGCATGCCTGGTGCCTATAGACTTCAGAAGAAGGTGTCAGTTCTCTGGGACTGGAGTTACAGATGCTTGTGAGTGCCATCTAGGCACTGGGAATAGAACCTGGGTCCTGGGAAAGAGCAGTGCTCTTAGTTGCTGAGCCATCTTTCAGCCTCCAAGACTAATTGTTAAAGAGCTTATATTAATGTATGTTTCATTTGTGCTAGGGTTTGAGTTTATATTGTTACTTGTTTTTAAATTTTAGATTCAAAACACTTTTGGCTCAGAAGAGCGATTGACCAGTAACTGTGAGATCAGAATTTGCCCAGGTGAAGACTGTGTAATCTCTGTGTTATTCGCACCTACTCGATTATCTTGTATGTTGGCTAAGCTAGAGATCAAACAACTTGGGATTCGATCACAGCCAGGCATTAAGTTTATGGTAAGAGAAATTCACTGCTTTTTTTCCTTCCATGAAGTTCATGTCAAGTTATAATCATTGCTTTAATATTGGTAAGTTATACATTCTGATTTTTCTAAGTTAAGACTTAAAACAAATTATAGAATAATTATCAAGTCATTAAAACCAACTGTTGGGAGGTTCATATAACCACCAAATATCCTAATGCTTTTAAAATTTCATTTCAGCTTGAGAAATTTGAAACATCCCTAACATAAACACATTTTGGGTAAATCCAGGGAGAGCTATTCAACTCAGCAAAAAATATTTTCTTAGCTCATTTGGTCCATTATAAACAACAAATACTACAAGCTAGATAATTATTATTTTATGTGTAGGAGTATCTTGCCTGTATGTCTCTGTACCACAAGTGTGTATGGTGCCCATGGAGGCCAGAAGAGGGTGTTGCATCTCCTGGAACTATGGTTACAGATTATTGTGAGCCACCATGTGGTGCTGGGAATTGAACCTTGGTTCTCTGGAAGAGCAGACTGTGCTCTTAACTGCTGAGCCATCTCCAGCCCCATACTGGATAATTTTTAAACATTTATTCTTCACAGTTCTGAATCTGGGTGTCCAAGATCAATGTGCCAGTTGTGTAGCAGGGAGGTGCATTCTGTTTCAAAGATAGCACTCTTTTCTTCGTGCCTTCAGCTGGTACAAGGCTGAGAGCACTCTTTCCACCTTTTAAAAGCACACTAATTTCACTTTTACAAACCAGGGCTGTCATGACTTCATTCCTACTTCCTAATGCTGTTAAGTTGGGAATTATTCCAACATAAGAATTTTGGCAAATTTGGACGTTAGCAAATATCTCTTGACATAATTTTTTAGACTGTGTTCCAGATACTAAGTCTACAAAGACAATTTTTTTAATGATTTATTTATTTTATTTTTTATTTTATGTGCATTGGAGTTTTGGATGCATGAAGATATCAGATCCACTGGAACTGGAATAACAGATAGCTGTGAGCTGCCATGTGTGTGCTGGGAATTGAACCTGGGTCCTCTAGAAGAGCAACCAGTGCTCTTAACCACTGAGCCATCTCTTCAGCCTGACAGATTAAAAAAAAAATGATTTAAAGCTATTTGCATAAATATTCAGAACAAGTACAGATAAAATGGATAAATCATTGAGGAAAGAAAATAAGAGCAGCACAGTCAGATGACAGCTACATAGAAGTGAATTTCTTCAGACTGTACATTTATCTGGCAGTGAGGCCAGAACTGAATTTATATTTTCCCTTTTGGGAGTGTGATCAATTATAAGCTTGATCAAGATAGCTTTATTTGACACCAGAGTTAATGTATTACTTGTGGAGCAACTTACTTGGTTCCATGGTGGTCCAAATTGTTTGAATATGTAAGTGGTCATTCTTAGACCCTGTCACAAAGCTTTAATGTACATAGTTGTATAGCACTCTGATTTAATTTTTTATGAAAATAAAATTGGGTTTGTGGAAAGAGCTAAATGAACTATGTCTTTATACTATCCTGAATATGATGTGGTAAATTCCAGGCTTATTAGCCAGTATTTGAGGTTGTTAGTCATTTAGGGCAGAAACATTCGATTGAATAGTTGCTAAGTTCTGATTTATAGCCTGGCATCTTCCTAAACAAACCAGGGTCTTAGTGCAATTCCTGCCTGCATAAATTCTCATGGGTAGGGTGAGGTTTATCTGTGGATTCCCCAGCTCAAAATGGCTTGTGTTTTATGAAAAGACACTGTTAAAGATAAAATAGCCTAATAAGGTGGCAGGAGGAACCTCGTATCGGATTAGAGAGAATCCAGAAAACCAGCCCTGTCTCATCATTTACACTCACTCTGGAGTGAGACTTCAATATTTTACTCATGACATGCAGCTTCTTGTCCCAGTATTATGGTTTAGTTCTGAGGAATGAATGGAATGTTCTGTGCTCTGAATAGCATAAAGCATGATGGACTGAAATAAAAATTAGTTTTATTTTATTTTTTTTGCATGTTGAATACATGTTAAGCGTCATCATTAATTGGTAGGTGGAATATCACATTTTGTTTTCAATATAACCTGAGATAAAACTGCTGTCTCCATATTCTACACAGGTTAACTGAGGCTATATAAGTGTGGAACCCACACTTAGATTAAATCCCTAGGGTGCTAAATACAGCGCTTTCTCACAGTTACTAAGATCAGTGCTTATCAACCTAAGTGTGTGTTGCTCCCACAGATGTTTGTTAGTATCTGGAGACAGTTTTGATTGCCTTAATTGAGACTAGGACAAGAATATTATCAACCCCCACTCCCCCAAATAAATATCCAGCCCAAGATACCAATGATAATGAGCTTAAGAAGCCCTCCTTTAGAGCAGTGATTTATCTGTGGACTGGTTAGCATCAATCACGTCGGTTTAATTTAAGATTTTCGCTTGTGTGTTTTAGTATATGTGTGTGGTATGCACATATGTGTGCACGCACATGGAGGCCGGAGGTTAACTTCGGGGATCTTCCTTTGTCGCTTCACTTTATTTACCGAATCAGACTCTCTGAACCTGGCACTTGCTGTTTTGGCTAGCTAGCTTGCCTTAGGGCTTTTTGTTTGTAGTTACTAAATACTGGGTTATGTGTGGATCTGAGCTCCAGGCTTCATGCTTGCATAGCAGGAACTATGTCTATTGAGCCGAAAATTCTTGAGAAGAACTGTATCTGTTCTGAACATGTATACTGTTTCTCTTGATATCATTTTCTAAACAGTACAACAGTTATTTACGTGGCATTTGTGTTGCATTCATATTGTAGCCTCTAGAGGTGATTTAACGGGTATGTTGGGGTGTGCATAGGTCATATGTAACAGCAATGTCATTTTATAGAAAGGACTTGAACATCATAGAGTTTGGTATTCATGGATATGGGGCTGTCCTGGAACAGACTCCCTGAGGATACTGGGGGACTAATGTTCAGAAAGAATACTTCTATTGAGTGTTTTCAAAGATGCTTTTTCTCGTTATCATTTCCTGTTTAATAGCATGCAGAAAACTTACTCATAAAACTGTAGGAAATGAAAAAAAATTGGAATAGTTTTGGCTCTTTTCAGCTATAGAAAGTAATTTTAAGTGATAAGATGTGTAGGTTTTTGATCTGAAAGTCTTAGAAATGTTATTACTTTATTATAAGTCAATCAAATTTATGAGGAACCTCAGTTTAGTTTTCAGTGTAGTTTTGATAGGCACATGAGGCAAATCAAAATTAATTGTTGATGTTTTCATATTCTCAAGGACCTATTTAGAACCTGTGAAAGAATGTTACTTTCTAGTAAGGTGAATGTTTTTCTCCCTTCCTTTATAATGGAAGGCACCTGTGACTCTGTTGTTTGGAAGCTCAGCCCCTGTAAAGACTACAGCCAGCACCTCTCAACGCTGGCTTCAGTCTCAGGTTTGCCAATCTGTAGCCTGCCCTGGGGTTTCGAGTACTAGACCTAGGTTTAGTCCTGTTTGCAGGCTCCTCTCTGACAATAGCTCTACCAACACTGAGGCTTTTTCCTCTCATAAAGTATTCCTGAGAAGTTGAAAAAATACCACTTAGGTTCTACACAGCTGACCACCTTACCAGTACATTATGTTTTTAGTCATTTCAAAATAAATTACAATGTATGTATGCTTCACCTTCTGAATGCAAGCGTAGCTGTACTAGTTTTAGTATTGTTCTTTGGTTAAGCCTGGCTTATGCAACAGGAAATGATTGTCTGTAGTCTGAAGATACGCAGTTTGGAAGTGCTATTTGTATTTCTCTCAACAAAATGTATTTAATAATATATATTAAGTATGTATAAAATGGTGGACTAGAAGTTGGGTGATTACTGACTCAAGGATACAAACATTAAAAACTTTACTTGTATTAAATCTGTATTTTCTTCTGACTATAATACATTTTCTGCTTTTTTATATAAAAATAATTTTGGATGTGTATGTGTTTTATTTTTTAGATACCTTTATCTGGATATGGAGGAACAAGTAATCTTATTTTAGAAGATGTTAAAAAATTATCTGACAGTTACTTGGTAACGATGAATGACTTAATTCCTGGCAAAGAGAGTAAAGTTATTTTTTCTGTTCGCAACACTGGCTCTAGAGCAGCCTTTGTTAGAGCAGCGTGTTTTAAAGATTCTCAAAGAAAAGTTTTGCTGGATCCTAAAGTATTCAGAATTTTTCCAGATAAATTTGTACTTAAGGAAAGAACCCAAGAAGTAAGTATAAAATCTCTGCCCTAAAAATATTTTTTATTAATATTAATTAGCATTTTATGGCCAAGAGCTAAAATCATGTTGGGAGGGAGTGTGGGATGGAAGTACTTACCTAGGCTTTCTGGAAGAGCTGGTATACATTTCTTCTTTTCTGAGACAGAGTTCCTCTGTGTAGCCCTGGCTGTCCTGGAACTGTTGATCAGGCTGGCCCCGTACTCAGATCCTCCTTTCTCTGCCTTCTGAATATACATGGGTTCTTCTGTGTATTGTAGAACTGTTTGTTCATGACTTTCTGAGGAAAAATACTGAAATTTCATACTCATGGTTTTCTCTTTTTTTTGTATCAGGATGTTACTTTAATATATAATCCATCTAACAGAAAGAGTGATAATAAACCTGCAACAGAACTATTAACTGTATACTTCTTTGGTGGTGATGAACTCTTCAGACAGCAGTATCGAAGGTAGATTACTTACCTTAGATAGTGCTGGGAACTGTTTAGTGAAAACAAGGACAGTTAATGATTTGTAAATTTTAGAATATACCTCACTGTTTATTAGATAGATAAAGAAAGGCATTGGTAAAATTTATGTGGCTCATAATTGGTATAATGTGAGTTAGAGATACTTGGAGGAAACATAAAGATGTTTTCCTGAATTCTGGCTTCTTGAGGTATAGATTATGCTTTTTCTTTATCCAAGAGTATCACCATCCTTTATACTACTACTACATATTTAAAGCATAGTACCTCACACTTTTCCTACTCCTAATATACTTATGACTATATTAGGTCAGTTTCAGAAAAGATCTTAAGAACTAACAGATTATTTTATATAAACCTACATGATTAATTTAGAATAGTTCCAGGAAGGCTAGAAATTATAGAGAAGACGCTGTATTTTAGAAACGTGAGGGTGGTTTAACTTATAGATTCTTTATAAAATCTGATACACCTAATATAAATATGATTTAATATACTGAATGGGGAAGTTTGGAATATTGTTCTTGGTCAAGTGTGATTAAAAATGGTACATTGTTATATGTTAACTTCTTATTGTGAAATTGAGTTTCTTGGGCTAGAAAACCAAAGTATAAGGCAGATGAAGCTCACGTTGAGAACGATGGCTTGCTATGTGATCCTTTGAAGGTAGCTTCTTGTTCTTTTTTTTTTTTTTTTTTTTTTCTTTTCTTTTTGAGACAGGGTCTGTCTACATAGCCCGGCTTTCCTATGTAGACCAGGCTGCCTTTGAACTCACAGAGATTCAAGTGCCTCTGCCTTCTGAGTGCTAGGATTACAGGTGTTATACCACCAAGTACAGTTGAACCTGGCTTCTTAATTATTTCAGAATAATTTGGAGAAATCAGATTATCACATTTCCTGTTTCCCTTTCTCTCTACTGAAACTTAAAAAACCTAGTGTATTGTTTCATAACTTCTATTTACCAAAAATTTACAGTACTGAAATTTTCTTGGTTTATGAACATCTGAGAACTATAGAGATATTTATAGTTTATTTCTCACTGCAGAAGTCTTTTGGAAGATGCCTATTTTTACGGTAGTTATATGGTTACTTAAATTATTTCTCCAAACAGCTCATCATTTATTGTCCCTCCCACCACTGAGACAAGTTCTTTGACCAAATTGTCACAAATAATGAAAAGATAAGCCCTGAAATCTAATTTTCTTTCTACTCTTACATTAAAGAGCCCCCGCTTTGACATTACTGTTAAACTAATGCTAATGATTTCATTTAGCTGAACTTTCAAAAGCAGGTTTGGGTCTAATAAGTACCTATATTATGATTTAAGATATGTGATCTATGTATGAATGTATCATGCTCTTAGTGGGGTTTGCCAGCTACTTCAATTAAAATCTGATTTAGGTCACTTTTTATATAAAGCAAGTAAAAACATCTCTTCTGGCAGAGCCCTGCTGAATAAACCAGGAATCATAAAGCAGATACTTCCAGAACATACTGTACTACGAAACATTGACTTTGCTGAAACATTTCAGGATGAGCTACTTATAGATGAAGGTAAGAATTGTAGCATCCTTGACTCTTTGGGTCATTTGTGGTATTATTTAGGCATGGACTGAGAACAGGACCAAGGTTAGTTTGGTGTCCAGCTGAATCTGAGCTGTGTTGACTTCAGGCAAACCACACTAGTGAGTTTCAGTTTCCTTTTTTTATAGAATGAGGATGGCATTTAGCTTCTCATCCATAAGTGTTGGTTGTTGTTTTTGGGCGTTTTGTTTTGGTTTTGATTTTTTTGAGAAAGGGTTTCTCTGTGTATGTAGCCTTGGCTATCCTGGAACTCACTCTGTTGTCTAGGCTGGCTTCAAACTCCTAGAGATCTGCCTGCCTCTCCCTGCCTCGGCCTCCTCAGTACTGGGATTAAAGGCATGCGCCACTGCCGCCCAGCAAGGTTTGTTTTGAAAATTAGATAGAAGAACTTTGCTTTATGAATATTTTAGATTTCCATAAGATTTTTAGATGTCAGGCTCATGACTGGAAGGAAGAAGATGGGGGCCATCATTACAGTCAGGTTTCTGCTGCTTCAGGTTTCATGATCATATTTAGAAACGTGGTGGTTTCCAAAACATTCCAAGTAGACATGCAGAGTACTAGCCTAGGTGCTTAGCCTCACTTGAAAAAAACAGTTCAGGTATTTAATTGTTATTTATCCATACAAAACAAATGTACCAATCTAAATTGTAAAAATGTGTGTATAATTTTTGTACCATAATAATTTTTACACAGTGTTGTTGATAGTTGTTAAGAAGTTAGCCATGACCTAAGTCTCTAAGAAAACGGAGCATAATATTTATAGTCATTAGAAACAGTGATATGAATTTGGGATAAATGTCATAAAATATTTTCATTTATTAAGAAAAATACCATTTAAAATTTTTATAGCAATGTGTCATTTTGGTAAAATAATTCAATATATAAATAATATCACACATGAATAAGCATATTCAAGACCCAGCTTTGCTACTTAAGAAATTATCACTTCCTCAGAGGAAAGTCTAGTTAAGAGCTAAACTGTATTTTGCTGTGAACACACATAGTAAATAACATTGTAGCTTAGTGAAGATGTAAGTAGAGTTTAGCATGATTTGGAAGTTGGCAAAATTCCACCAGCTAGTGATAGTCCATTTACCTGCTAAGTAGATGCATTCTGAAGAGATACGGTATCAGCTGAGTGGACACCAGAATGCAGTCCTTAACCATAAAGGGCTGACAGATGTAGAAGACAGACGTGGGGAAGACTTAAGTGTATTGGAGGAGATGACTGCAGTGTGCTTAGGAATGGGAGAGGCACAGAGAAAGGGCTAGAGCAACTGTTGAAATATACTTGGAAGAACAGGAAACTAGACAAAATGGAGAAGATGGTCTAGAATGAGGAAGGGTACTTCAGGGTAGCTCCTTGTCCAGAAACTCAAGAAATGTAAGAAAGGTTGTTTTGAGAAACCATGAACTCAAGTAACTTTTAAGATCACTCATGTCAGGTGGTTTGAGTTGTGGCTTTTACCAGGTTTCTGGATATCAGAATACAGTGTACATTGGGTATCCTGCTGTATGAATGAATGAATGAATGAATGAATGAATGAATGAATGAATGAATGAATGAAACAGTCCCACTTGTTTGTGTTGATGGATGCCATACTTTGCCTATGAGAATGCTGAGCATTCTCTGTGATTATGATACTGAAATTTGTTTGAACATTTTACTATTAGAAATATTTGTTGTGGTCTCTTACAACATGGGTAATAAGTGGCAACTATTCTTATAATTTATAGTCATAGCATAGTTACTATAAATTTAAATTTACTGCCTAGCATGGTGATACACAAATGTAATACAAATATTTGGGAGTGGAGTCAGGAGTGTCAGAATTACAAGACTAGCCTTGGCTACATGAGATCCTGTCTCAAGAAAAACCAAGACAAATTTACTGTGTTTATTTTATGATTCCATTTAAAATACATACCTTTTAAGGAATGATAGAATGAAGTACACTAAAGTTTCTTGTATATGTATGTTCAGGCAGCCTAATCTAAAGATGTTCATGATGTGCACACTTTTTTATTAATCTAGAAATATTTAGTAATGCTAATAGTGACTAATTCCTAGATGTGCTTAACTGTGAAACTTGCCCTTAACCTTTTTGTGCTTCAGATTCCTCCTTTTAAATATAAACCTCATAATACCTCCCTCAAAGAGTCAGTTTGGAAATTTAGCCAACCTGAAGAATTAGAATAGTGCCTCACTCACCATATATATTTGTTGCCATACATATCTTGAAAAATGTTCATGCTTTAAGGTTCACAGTACCCCCGAGATAGATTATTACCATTCCAGAGTAGTTAAGGAAACTAATGCTTTGAGAGGTTTCTTAAGTTGCCAGAGGTCACGGAGTGGCAAAGATGATAGCTTACATTTTGGTTCAGATTTGTCAGCGCTAGTGGTGGATGGTCTATACAAGTCAGTGGTGTTAATAGTTGAGATGTTTCCTATTCCAACCTAAGGAAATAGTATGGCTGTGTGTAAATGCTGTGCTCGTGTGAGGATTCATGTGTTCCAACATGTATTCTTTTGCAGCATGTGATCTTCCCCAGCGGCCTAATGACATTCAGCTCTTCTATGGAAGCATGCGCAAAATTACCCTGTCAGTAATTGGAGAATTCAGAGAGTCCATTTCTAGCAGAGAATTTCTTCAGCCTCCTTCCAGTGCTGAGAATGAAAGGTCAGACAACTGCACAGACTTTTGCCAGATTTCATGACTTATTCATACTGCAGCGCATCTACTCCCCACTATAACAAGTTATTTTTTCTCATTCTTTAACCATTTTAAGCTTAATTTGAAATTTTTTAAAACTCCTAGAAAAGTTTGAAAATAGTGTAGACAACTTTTGGAAAACCCAGTACTCTGATATCCTAATTGTTAACATTTTACCTTTTACCATTTTACCATTTGCTATCTCTTATTTATAGAGATTTTTGTCTTAGTCACATAAGAGTGAATTTGCAGGAATGAGGAGCCCTAAGGTGTTAAAGTTACTCCTGTAGCTAACCTATCAGAAGTAGAACATTTGACATCAAGACAGTACTATCCATGGTACATGGACTCTGTTTATACATCTTGAATTGTTACAATAAAGCTCTCCAGAGTTAAACTATGGAAGAAGAGATCTTTGTCTCTTGTTTAGAATCCAAGATTATATTGCATTTTGATGACCTGTCTACTCAGTAATGAAGTCTGTCTGCCCTTCCTTACCATTCATAGATGAGAGAGTGTGAATTATTAAGTCAGAACCTCAGAGTCAAAAGAATTCCATAGATAAGCTTTTTTTTTTTTTTTTTTTTTTTTTTTTGCTGATAAATTGAAATAAAATTTGAGCTTGTCTGTGGTGCTTCCTAGGTCCTTTATATAAATACTAGTTCAGTTTAACATGGGTTCTATGTGTTGAATATGTGGCAGAAGGGAGCTATTTCAAGCATGGCAGTTCTGTTTTATAGTTGGTAATTAAATAATTTATATGATAATTTTCAAAGGAATATCCCATATGCTCATAAATTCCAGGTTTTTCTATCACAGACAGTTGTAAGCAGATGCTACTACTCAGCATGCTACTACATAAGGGCATTAGTGTAATGGCTTTTGAGATGATCAGATCTGCCCAAGTCATCTCTTTTTTTTCCTGAGGATTTCCAGTAAAAGATAGAAAATAGTTTACAGGGCAGCTGCTGACCATTTTCCTCCGAATGACTGTTCATTTTGCGGTTTCGGGTTCAACACCTTCGGCAAAACAGCAAAAACATGACACGGTTATATACATATACATATACATATACATATACATATACATATACATATATATATATATATTTTTTTTTTTTTTTCCCTGTGTGCCTACACAGGTGGTTTATGATGTAGAGCTGTCCTGGAGTCTTTGTTTCTCACTCTATTAACCAGGCTGGTTTCAAACGCAGAGATTCACCTGCCTCTGCCTCCTCAGCTCTGTGATTAGAAGCATGCGTCGTTGTGCTCAGCAGTAGCAATATTTTTATCACTTGGCTAAAATTAGTGTCTCCAAGTTTCTCCACTACAAAGTTAATATCTTTAAACAAACATCCAGATTTGATAATTATTTTGTTATTGAAGTTTTTACATCTATTGGTAATTGTTGCCCGATTCACGTCATTTTTATCAAAGGTATTTCTTTTTTTATTTCTATATTTATTAGTTGACTGTCCACTTTAAAGAGACTTTGGCTGGAGAGATGGCTTGTGATTAAGAGCACTTGCTGTTCTTCCAGACAACCCAGGGGTCAAATTCCAGCACCCACATGTCTGAACCTGCAGCTCCAGGAGATCTGACCCTCACACAGACAAGAATGCAAACAAACACCAGTGCTCATAAAGAAGAGACTTTTCTCCTTTTTGTATACTTACTAATGGCAGGGTGCTGTGTAGAGTCAGTGTGACTTCTTTTTTTCTCTCGTCTCATTCTGCTCTTTAAGTCTTTCCATGGGTTGCCCTTAGTCCTTGAGTATGTTCTTACTTATTGGCACAGCAAGATATTCAAGGTTTATCTGACGTTTCTTGCTGAGCATTACAGGCTCCTTTCTCTTAGGAGTTCATTTTTTTAGAGAATGACATTGGGAGTCTGGGGATGGCATTAGATGTACCCGTGGTATTGTAATGGAAGAACTAAGAAATGCATGAGTTTGTGTGTAAATCCAAACTCATCCAAAATCAAACTGTTTCTGTATTTCAGAAAAAGCAAACCTGAGTTAACATCAGTGCCTCCAATTCCTATCTAACATGTACCCTTCCCATAATTGTATGTTTTTTCTCTAATTAACCTCATTATCCTCTTTTCCGTTAAGGTTCACCAATTCTGCCAATTTCAACTAATGCCATTATGTATTCTGTCTCCTGAGCCCAGTGCTACAGTGTGTACAAGTTTATTGTCTTTATGTGTTCAGTACCATAGCCCAATCCCTGCTGCTAGTGACCCCACCTGCCCTCCCATCTGTTCTCATTCCTTGTTCTGATCATTTCCAGTGATATTTAAAGGAATAATTAAATAGAGCATTTACAACTATATAGTAAGGAACTTGTCCTCAGTAAGTAGAAATGCCAAGAACCAACAATTATTTCAACTGGTCTGACCTTTCCAATACCTCTCTTGTGTCTCTGGTGCAGTAAAGTCAGATTTGAAACCAAGGTGAGCATGTACTGGCAAAAAGGAGAGGCAGGGGTTCCCTTCTGATTTTTCTATTTGTTTTTTTTATTGGAAATAAGGCTGGGTTCCATGTGTCGGGGAAAATTTGGACACTGCACAATAAAACTTCAATTATGATTTTGTACTTTTGTGATTGCAAGATCGGTGTGAATTAGAATTGTTTATAAGACTTACAGGAAAACAGTAAGAGTCTTCTAGACTGGATTAGCATTTTTCCAGAAGCTTTGCTATTTTCATGGATTTGGTGTCACTATTGTGAAACCAGTTATCATTGTGCAGCTACAGATATGTTAAAAGCAATTTGGTCTTGTCCTTTTCTTTCTTTTCTTTTTTTTTTCTTTTCTTTCTTTTTTTCTTTTTCTTTCTCTCTCTCTTTCTCTCTCTCTTTCTTTCTCTCTCTCTTTCCTTTCTTTCTTTCTTTCTTTCTTTCTTTCTCTCTCTCTCTCTCTCTCTTTCTTTCTTTCTTTTTCTTTCTTTCCCTCTTTCTTTCCCTATCTTCTCTCTCTTCTTTTTTTTGATAAGGTTTGACTGTGGAGTGCCTGTGTGGAACAGGATAGCCGCCAATTCACTGAGAGCTACCTGTCTGTGCCCCAAAGTGTTGGCCTTAGTGAATTTGGCTTTTCTTTTGTTGTGCCATTTTCCAATAAATCTTTTAAGAGATTTAAGATACAAATCTGTAAGGCCAAAAAAAAAAAAAAAGTTTGATTAAAGTTACATATACTCTGTAGCTTACACTGGTTTTGTTTTTGTTTTTTGTTTTTTCTTTCTTTCTTTGTTTTGTTTTTTAATTTTCTGTCTTTTATCTCCTGCTAGGGTCAAACCCCAGAGCATTGTCATGCTTGGTGAGCACCTTATTTCAGAACTTCATCCTAAGCCCTATAAAGTACTTAACCTCTGAGCCATCTCTCCAGCCCCCTATAAAGTACTTTTAAGTATATAAAAAAATATGGAGTCTTTATAGTTACTGGAAAATATATGGTATATCATACCTTTTACGTCTGTCATAATTTTTTTATTTTATAAGCATTTATATAAAATGTGAAATAATTAAATTTGTTAGAAGTTTTAATGTCTCTTTATTACTTTTCTGTTTTTAAGTAATTTTCCCAGTGAATCTGGAACTTCTGTAAAACAAAGTGGCAACGTCTCTTTGGATGTTTTACCAGTTAAAGGCCCTCAGGGTTCTCCTTTTCTTTCACAAACTGCCGACCCAGCTCAGGGCACACCAGCCTCTGAAGAAAGTTGGGCTGTCCATCCAGAACACTTGATTCTGGTAGCTACTTCTTCTTGTGAATATTTCGGTAAGAATTCAGAAGTGCGTCTGGGAGTCGAGTCTCCATCTCTGTGTCTGTGGGGTTAGGTCTACATCTCTGTGTCTGTGGCTCACTCTAGACTGGCTCCCACATGAGACCTGACAATCAGTACTCCACCTGCAGTGCTCTACTTGCTGCTTTTTGGCTTGACACTGATACTATGGGTTCAGAGTAGGAACAAATTGTAAATGGATGCTTCCCACAGTGAGAGCATTTTCAGGGCATTCTCTCTAACCTGGGTTAGTGTAGCCAGTGTCTTTGTAGTTTCCAGTAGTTATCAAGAACTACTTGAACATAGAGTTGAAATTCGTACAGAACCAAAAAATTTGAGCACAGGGTTCTTGCCTGAGATTCATACTTCAACCAAGTACCATGCGTGGAGATAACCTAGAACCTCTGCACAGATGTAAGATGTAGCCCATGGCAGTTCAGTGTCCAAGTGGGTTCCATAGTAATGGGGACAGGGACTGCTTCTGACATGAACTGATTGGTCTGCTCTTTGATCACCTCCCCCTGAGGGGGGAGCAGCCTTACCAGGCCACAGTAGAGGACAATGCAGCCACTCCTGATGAGACCTAACAGACTAGGATCAGAAGGAAGAAAAAGAACCCCTCCCCTACCAGTGGACTTGGGGAGGGGCATGCATGGAGAAGGGGGAGGGATTGGGAGGGGAGGAAGGAGGGAACTAGAGGGGGGATACAAAGTAAATAAAGTATAATTAAAAATAAAATAGGGCTGGAGAGACGGCTAAGAGGTTAAGAGTATTGGCTGCTCTTCCAGAGGTCCTGAGTTCAATTCCCAGTACCCACATGGTGGCTCACAACCATCTGTAATGAGATCTGGTGCCCTCTTCTGGCATGTAGGTCTATATACAGACAGAACATTGTATACGTAATAAATAAATAAATCTAAAAATAAAAATAAAAAATAAAATAAAAATTAAAAAAATTTCTACAGTTGGACTATTAAGAAAAGTGAAATAAACTATTATATAAGTGCATTTACTCAGAATTCAGTATTACTAACACTTGTCTTTTTCATTATGACTAAATGCAATTAACATTATTTATCTGATACAATAGGTGACATGGTAAAAACAGGACGTTTCCAGATTATAAATAACTCTGTTAGGTTACTGAAATTTGAGCTATACTGGCCAGCACATTGCCTAACAGTTACACCACAACATGGATTTATCACGCCAGAGTAAGTATGGTTTTTAAAGGTTTTCTTCAGTGTTAATCAAATGCCATCATGGAGGCCCCCCCCCCCCTTTTTTTTGAGACAGTGTTTATTAATATAGCCCTGGCTATCATAGAATTTTCTCTGTATACCAGGCTGGCCTCGAACTCAGAGATCTATCTGACTCTCCTCTAAATGCTTGAATTAAAGGTGTGCACCACCATGCCTGAATTTTTGGAGGCCTCTTAAAATAATGTATTAGTTATATATAATGAGTATAAAATATTTCATACATGTATTTTGATCATATTTTTCTTCTGTTCCTACTCCTACTGATTCCTTTTCTTGTCCAAGTTACCTCCTATAACTTTGTTGAGGGTTAATGTCTAGCTCAGTCAACGCACTCTTGCCTAGCATGTGCAAGGCCCTGGTTTTTGTTCCCAGCACTGCAGAAATAAGCAAATGAAGTTATTCAGTAGAAGTTTGCTTTTGTGCTAACAAAGTACACATGTCGTTTTGTAACACATAGTTAAGAATCACTCCTTTTAGTGGAGTAGAGATCATACATAAAGCCAGGTAGGGCACCCTAAGGTGGTGAAGAGACATGATTGATGAGGAACAGAGACCGTGGAGTGGAAGACATCAAAGTGTTTCTTGACACGCTTACTTTGCTTACAAAATCACAGTGTAGGAAATAAAGCCAGGTATGTGATGAGGGTTTGCAGTCTCTTAGAAAGCCTACCTATTTATTGCTTCTGTCTCCTACGTTTGCAGTGTGAATCCTTGTGCATTCTGGTTTTGTTGTTCTTTTCTGAAGATGTTTTTCAGCCAGAACTTTCTGATTTGTGAAATGTCTGAGTCACACCCTAGCCTATAATTTTTCTACATAAAATGTTTTAAGATGGAGTCTTCTGAGACTAGCTATTCCTGCACAGCTACTGTCTGTAAACAGCCTGATAATTGACAAGATGAAAACCACAGCTCTGCAGCTTTCTAGGGTTTTTATCTGGTCAGCATAGCACTGTTTCATCCATCTAGAGTGCTTAGTATTTTTAATAAACAGCTTTGCAGAAGAACAACATGGAGTTCCTTTACATTTGCAGAATTACGATTGTGTGTATTTGTAGAGTTTGCTGGACTGATGCTATAGCTAATATAAGGGTGGGTACCCAGAGTATCCCTGGAGTAAACCAATCAACTCTGCTTGTACTGAGTACTTACCACATGCAACAGGTCCTTGCCAGCTAATGAGTGAAGGGATAAGAGGGATGGTGGAACAGTTATTTTACAAATGACCCTAGGGTTCCATGTATTAGCTATTAGCAAAGGAGATAATTTTGCCATGCTATTTTTGACAAGTGGGATTTTTTTTTATAGACACAAGTCTGATTTCTTCATTTAAACTTACTTTTAGCATAGATGGTCCTGGATGGGAAATTTGAGAACAAAGATAAATAACTGGTTAATTAACGTCCTACCATACCCTTTCCTCCTGCATTTCCTTTCAGTTTACTGGGAAGTTAGTCTGCTTTGTGCTGTTAACATGCTATCCCTTACTGTGTCAAGTGGCTCAGCGTTTGTGTAGTATGAATCTGTCTGGACTTGGTTCTGAGGTGGCATTTTTGTTCAGTGCTTTGTATTCCAGACAGTTTCTCTTGGGCTGAGGGCGTGTGCCAGTATACTTTTTGCTTGCCTTTGTTGGGTTTTGAGACCAGGTGAGCTGTGTGAGGATGTTAAGGAAGGAGTGAACCACATTCTGTGTATTTTCCCAGCCATAGAAAATGATTGGTTATTGGCAGAACAGTATTTGTAATTTTTGTCACTACTACTGTAAAATTGAATATTCTCAGTGTTCTTTTTTTTTTTTTTTTTTGAAGGAGTAAAACACAAGTTCTTGTGAGTCCTAATTCTTCTTTGTCTACAAAACAGTCAATGCTCCCATGGACTGGTTTGATCTATATACACTGTGATAATGGTCAGAAGGTATGTCTCATCTGTTTTTCTGAGCAGCATTCTTTTATTTTAAAGCTTCAGTTTCATAATTCTTATTAACATTGCATTTCGGAAGTCAAATGAAACCAAGTAGGTATTCTTACTTGGAGCACTTAGTGCAGAATTTTGCCCATAGCGATCTGAACAGCTTTCTTGCGAGACTGACAATGGAAAGTAAGGGCCTAAAAACTATTGCTATTTGCTTTAAAATCAAAATAGAAGGAAGGAGGGAGGCAGGGGAGATGACACAGTTGCCTTCTAAGTGTCAGGACCTGTGTTCAAAGCCCCAGACATAGTATGCATCTGCTTGTCCCAATGCTCCTATAGTGATATGGGAGGCAGAGGCAGGAGAAGCCCTGAACATCATTGGCCTCTTAGCCAGTGTACATAGAGACAAACAAAAATGAGCACCAATATCCAAGGTTGTCCTCTGACCTCCATGTAAGTGCTGAGCACATGTGAATATACACTCATACATACACATGCACATGGATGGAGGAGAAGGGAGGGGGAGGAGAAAGGAGGGAGGGGGGAGGAGAAGGGAGGGAGGGGGAGGAAAAGACAGGGGAATGCTGAGAAAGGAGAGAGAACCAAAGATTTACTTTGAGATCTAAATAAACTTTAGTTTCTAAATTTACCAGTATTCTGTTTGTTTGGAATTTCTTTACTGTAATTTAAAAACCAGAATGTGCCCTTTTAAACTGGTAGCTACCTCTGTGTCTTATTCATTTGGCTCATTTCAGAAAATTGTAAAAGTTCAAATTCGAGAAGATTTGACTGAAGAACCGTTATCTCATTTGGCCTCCAGCACATTTGGAATTCTTGCTCCAGCACCTGAGCCTTCCATTAGTCATTTGACAAAACCCATTACAAAACCATCTTCCACAAAACTGGAAATTAGAAACAAGACAGTAATTTTTCCTCCAACAGCACCTGGTAAAACCTCAGGTATTGTATCACAAAATTAGGTAGATCGGATGCCAATTACTGCATGTAGTCTACTGCTTTGTTGTTAGTTTTGTTGTTGTTTTGTTTCATTTTTATATATCTCCTTATTGTTTTTGTATGCTAGGGACCTAAGCCAGGGCATCACACATGTTAGTGTTTTCCTGCTGAACTATACTTCTAGCCCCTTGTGCTAAAATTTAACCTTGAGTTTATAAGTACAAAACTTCTACTTAAGGAGAACATTATGGAGCCATTGACAGTCATTTCAGTAATGGGATGGATTTGAAAACACTGTCTTAAAATCTGAAGCTTGGACTTTTTGGTTTCATTGGATGGGTCATTACTATTCTGTTCCAACCAGGTCTTTGATCTAGTAGTTCTCTGACCTAGAAGAAGAAAGGAGATGGGTGTCTTAGGCTGAAGAGACACTATAACCACAGCAACTCTTAAAGAAAAATATTTAATTGGGGTTTGGCTTGAGGTTTAGGTTTATTATCATCATGGCAGGAAGCATGATAGCACACAGAGACATGATGCTAGAGAGTTTTACATCTAGATCAGCAGGCAGAGGAAGAGAGTGCTTCTGGGCCTGGTTTGGGCTTCTGAAGCACGAAAGCCTACCCCCGTTGACACACTTCCTCCAAAAAGACCACACCTCCCCAATAGTGCCATTCCCTGTCAGCCTGTGGAGGCCATTTTCATTCAAACCATCACAGTGGCTTGGACCTGATTGATTTTTAAGGTCCTCAAGTGGCTAGGTACACTGCTAAATTTCCCCGTGTGCTAAGGGGCTGTTGTAACCATCACCATCACAAGCACACTGAGGGGGGATTCAGTCGTGCATCTGTTCAGTTATGTATCTAAAGCAATGGGCTTGGTCTTCATTCAGCAGGTACTCTGTAGTAATGTTTTTATCTTTATCTCTTTTTCCTCCTTGCTGACCTTTGCTAAATGAGTAGTGGTATTTGGGTGTTCTAGAAAGGATTTGGGTCCCTGTCTCACTGAGACAAAAAGTACTTCCCTTTGACTCTGTTTCCTTCTTTGTAGGTCTCTCCTGGACGTTGCCATTTATCCCCAGTAGCTCATGCTGCTCTCACTCTATCTGGGGACTTTGCCTGTCTTTCTCCTACTACAGGAATTTCAGTCTTTTCAACCTTGTCGAAGTCTCCATTCTAAGGCTCACACCATTCATGCCCTCTAGCACTTGCCTCAGGTCCCTCTTTTCTCAGACCCCTTGAATCTTGTGGCCTGTGCTGGTAATAGTTGTCTTCCCTCTTTTTCTTGATAAGCCTTGCCTTCCTGTTAAGCCATGGTTAAACCTAGTTGTCTGACCACTTGTGTTCCCCCTTCAGTATCAGGACATTGCTGGGCAAAACCATATAAGGCTTTGCCAACAGATTCATAGTCCCAGATGCTGTTATATCATATGTTCTCATCAATAGCCAATGCTATTCCGGGTCCTCTCACTTATTACAACTTCTGGCTTTGCCTCACACATAGAGAAGTCATTAGACTAAATGAAATCTCTCTGTTTTCTGTCGTAAAGGAAGCCTTCGGCTTAAATGTAGGCCCATCTACTCTGCTTTCTCAGGAGCTCTCCCTGGCCTGTCCTTTGCTTGTCCTTCATTTCTCCTTTCCTTTTGGCTCCTTTCAATGAGCCCACAGTGTGCTACCATTACAGACATTTTACATTGCCCTCTTATTTGTCTGCAACTGCCAACTTCCTCAGCACACCCATTGGTAGAAGGATCCTGTTCCCTGCCTTCCCTTTCTTAGTTTTGCTAGCTGCCATCACCACATTGATGGCCAGCTTGATAGGAGCTCCCAGAAGAGCTGTTTTGCCAGGGCTATAGTCCATGTTAGGTGAAGCCTCCCTCCTTGGATCACTTCACAGCTGGGTGCTGATGCATTCTCTTGCTTTGTTCCTTTCAGAATTCTTTGAGAATTTTATGCAACTGAACCCTGGGCCCACTGATGTCCTGTTCCTATTATACTCTGCTGCCACCTGTGCCCTTCCTCCTCCTTTTTGCTTTCCCTGAGAGAGCCTATAAACTGGCTGGTGACTGCTGTGTGCTCAGGTGATGTGTTCTTAGAGGTGTTGGATCCAGGATAGAACCTGCTTCTCCTCTAGTTTGACCATGTGAATCATTGACACCTGTTCTCCCATTCCATTATAATCTCATTTTTGTGTTTCAGCTCTTCAATATCTTTGTATTATACTTTTGAAAAAAAATCCAAAACAGGATATTTGACACACCTGATTGTCTAGAAAATTCTGTACTTTCCATTGGACTATAAGGTTATGAAGTTTGTCACAGAGCTGCTTGCCACTAGCCTTTCAGAATCAAGTGCTGCATTTTTTTTTTTCTTCTTTTCAGAGAACTTTGTGGAACTAGCGAATGGTGGCCCCACAGATGTGAAATGGCACCTGTCATCTTTTGCTCCCCCATATGTCAAGGTCAGTCATCTCGCTGTTCAGACTCTGTGATGTCTGAATACAAGGACAGGTTGACGTGTTGGTTGTGCCACCAGTTTACTCCTGCTTTTCTGTAGGTAGGGATGACGTGTATTCAGCTTTTTTCGACAGATAATTCTGAGAGCCAAATTAGAAAACTTATTTAAAAATGCAAAACAAAACAAAAATGTTTGCTCCATTTAATTCTCCTAGTCCTGATTTTTATCTGAAGTAACTTAATTAGAGAAGTGTTAAGGGTTTTATTTTGAGCCTGTGTGTGCACACACTGCTTCTGTTTCATGTGAACTGTGCCCTGTGTTCACTCATCATTGTACTGTCATGGTTTGGCCATGGGAGCTGCTGTGGGTGGGGGGAGCGCTCTGCTCTTGGCCTGCCACCTGCTACATAGCTCTTCCAGTGGTACTACCCACAGAGAACAGCTTGTCACTTGTATGGCTTAGTCTTTTGTGACACTGTTTGTTGTTGTTGTTTTGTTCTGTTACAGCAAGATCTCTTTGTAGCATTGGCTGGCCTTGAACTCTGTAGTTTTGGCCTTAAATTTGGCCTTAAATTCATAGAGATCCTTCTGCCTCTGCCTTCTAAATGCTGGGATTAAAGGTGTGTACTACCATGCCTGCCTGTGACACAGTTTTAAGGTAGGTAGTTACTGGATTTATTGCAATAATGATTTAGTTTTGCAGGAGTATTAAAATATACATACATTCAGCAGTTTTGGGGAAGACAATAATTTAACATTTTAAATAGCATCAAGCTCACAGTGGACAGATTTAACCTTCTATGTGCTGGTGACAGCTGATGTATTGGCATGTGCAGAGCTTAAATGGGGAGGAGGCTCTTAGGAATATACTGAGTGTTCCTGACCTATTTTTGAGATGGATTTGTCCTTTCCTCCGTAACTTTAACAAAAATAGGATCTCTTTGATTAATTTATTGGATGTTTTTTAAATTATTTGAATAATAATTAAATAGTCATTTAATTTTTAAATGATTATTTTCCAGAGAATTGATGAAACTGGAGATGTTTTTAGAGCTACCTACACAGTGTTCAGATGTTGTCCCATTTCTGGCACACTGGAAGGTTATAGAATCCAAAAGGTGAGTTTTGGAAGTTTCTCATAGACAGCCTGTAAGAGTATAATATTATTCTAGTAGGAGTGAATCATGTGACCTGGGCACTTCAGTTTGTCTCCTGCAGACCAGAGCTGGCCTTAGAGCCAGCTGTCCACTGGAGAAGAGGTCTGCTTGTTACAAGCATACTACTGTTGTGCTGTAGCAGGAAGTCTGCTTCCAGAGAAGTGTTAGCTGAATAGTCCAAGTATGGTGATTAAGGGTTGCAGCTGCAAGTGTTTATAATAAACTTCACTGATGAAGACAATAGTTTTGTCTACCAACTATAGCCACTGAAACTTCCGTTCTTCAGAAAAAATCCAACATTCACAGCATAGTTATCAATATATTTTTATGGATAGCAATCCTTCCAATTGTTGTGAACTTTTATTTATTTTAGAAGTATGATTTTTAAAATTATTTTTTATTTTTTGAGATGTCATTTTCTCCTTCCCCTCCTCCCTCCAAAACTTATTACTCCTCATTATCTTTGAATTTCATGACCTCTTTTTTTAAAAAAATTAATTTTTTTATATTAATTAGTTTATTTATTTTGTATCCCAGCTCTATCCCCCTCCCTTTCTCCTAATTCCATTCTCCCTTTCTCATCTCCTCCCTGCTCCTCTCTAAGTCCACTGATAGGGGAGGTCCTTCTCCCCTTCCATCTGGCCGTAGCTTATCAGGTCTCAACAGGACTAGCTGCAATGTCCTACTCTGTGGCCTACCAAGGCAGTTCCTCCCTTGGGGATGGGGAGGTCAAAGAGCCAGCCACTGAGTTCATGTCAGAGACAATCCCTCTTTTTCATTATTTGTTGTTACATACATAGTCCTACTCAAAACCTTAGCCAGAGGCCTGGAGAAATGGCTCGGTTGTTAGGAGCACTTCCTGCAGCACTTCTTGCAGAGGACCAGAGTTTGTTGCCCAGCACTCATGTTGTGTGGCTCATAACTGCCTGTATCTCTAGCTTCCAGGGATCTGACTCAACTGGCCTCTGGATATGCACACACATACATGCACATAAAAATGAAAAACAAAGCTTACCTTGGCTTTAAGTTTTTTAATTGTGTTTTGTTTTATTTGTGGGTTTAAGTGGTGTTATTTTTTTTTACTCTTCAGAAAAGTTGCTGTATTTAAAAATACTCCTCTCAGAGCAAAAAGAGGAATGCTGTAGAATTTTAAATGAACTGGGAACAGAGAGTGAGTTGAAGGAAGGCCTAAAAACTTTTGTCTTGTCAGAATTAGAATCGAGGGTTCCATAATTACTCTGAAATCCATTTGATGTTGTGTTTATGGTTAGAAATTTATGGGACAGGAACTCCAGGGTCTCTCAGATTTATTTCAGATCAGTTTAATTGTGGCCACAATGTAACGCTTGTGCCTGTCCCTCATCTTCAGGCCAGTTTCTTAGTTTCAGGGGTTACACATGCTCATGACATGCTGACCATCCATCAGTGGTGATGTGAAATCCAGCTTGAGAGTAATAAACAATGTCAGAGCTAATAGAAAAGTTGATGTTGGCTTCATCCAGGATGTGAGAAGGTGGTGCCTTGTATATATTCTATCACAAAATAAGCAGGAAAATGTGTGCATGTGTGTGTTGGATGGGATCTTTTTTATTTTTTATTTATTTTTATTTTTTTAAGGTTTCAGTCTGCTTTAGGCCTTTTATCTCTGAAACTAAGCATTTGCTTTCTGGTTGTATGTCCCCATACAGCCGCCTTTTACTTCTCTTTGTTCATATACTTTAGTTTCCTGTTGGTTTTGTTTTAAAGTTGATGGAGTGGTCCTGAATTTATGTAGATACATATCCAGGGGATCCACAGTAATGAAAATAGCATGGAAAAAAAAATCACAGCAATGTAGGAGGACTTACAGTTCTCATTTTCAAAACCTAAAAAGCCGAAGTACTGTCCCAAGAAGGTGAATGGAGTACAGAAGGGAATGGCTTAGAACTGAGCCCTCATGTCTGTGATCAGTTGATATTCTTGATTAGGGAACTAAGGCAAAGTGAAGAAATAGAACAAATGGCAGTGGGATAACAAGGTACACTAGGTCAAACATGATCCTCACCTGTTACATTACTTTGCTCATTGCAATAATAAAATACCTGACAAGAAGCAGCCTAAAGGGTGGAAGTTTATTTTGGCTCACAGGTTGAAGGGACCCAGTCCTTTATGGAGGACTGACATGGTGAGAGGACTGTGCAGCTGGGACTCCTTACCGCCTCACGTCTTGGCAGAATAAGCAGCAGGGAGTGCACAGGAAGGTGGCCTGAGCTATAAAACCTCAAAGCCTGTCCCTAGTGATTCATTTCCTTTAGTCAGACTCAACTGCCTGACAGTTCCTCAGCCTTCTAAAACAGCACCACAAACTGGATACCAAGTGTTCAAATGTGAAACTGTAGGGGACATTACACATGTAAACTACAGTTACTGTATAGAAAAATTAACTCAAATGGGTCTTAAATGTAAAAGCAAAAAGTAATAAAGCCCTTAGAAAATATGTACAAACAAATCTTCATGGCCTTTGAATTATGCCCTGGTCCCTTAAGTATGACACCAGTAAAGTGTGAAAGTGTGGTGAATTGTTAAAATTAGTAATACTTGTTCATGTAATCAACTCTATAAAATAAAAGATCTACAAGGTGGGAGAAATATTTGAAAATCGTGAATTTGTCAAAGGACTTACATTCATAATATTTAACACTTATGCCTTAGACAAATGACCTGATTTCTAAAATGAGCCAAGGATTCAGATAGATGTTTCTCCAGGAAGATATGCAGTGGCCAGTAACTCAAAACACTTCGAATTGTTCTACACTAGTCATTTGTAAAATGCAATCAAAGTCAGAAATGAGCTGTCACTTGCTAATCTGTTTAAGATGTGATCTTAAAAACAACCAGTAGCTTCACTGAGCACATAGAGAAAATGGAATTCTTTTGTGTTGCTTTAGGAATGTGTTAGAATATGGTATAGTCATGTAAAAAGGTTTGAAACTTTTTAATTTTTAATGATGGAAATGAAAATATATCTAAAAGTGAAGTTTCTGGAAAAACTGTTCTTTCCTGTGTTGTATTGTTCTTCAAACTTGACTTTGGCCTCCCGCCTGGTCTTGCATTTCAGAGCTGAGTCTCTAAAGACATCCTTGTTGACAAAAGTTTTGTTCAAGGGCATGTCCACAGAGTACCTTGTGGGCATGAGGTGACTGTAGTTATAAACTTTCGCAAAGGACTTGATCTTTGATCTCTTGGCCATTTTCTTTGTGCCCATGGCAGTTCTCACTTTTCTATGATAGTAGTTGATTCCAGCCACTAGGGCATGGCTGTAAGAGCTCTCTGAGGTGCCATCATCAGTATTCTTCCCATGACGGCTTTTTGTCTAGCCACGACCAGCACCACTTTTCCCGGTGTCATGAACTTTCCCATTTCGACAGTAAGCAGCAGGCACCCAGCAAAAAGCAGTTTGACAGTTCTGAAAGGTAGAATTTCAGTAGGCCATAGTACTTCCACTTCGTGTTTTCTTTCTTTTGGCTTTTCAAAACAGGGTTTCTCTGTGTAGCCCTGGCTGTCCTGGACTTGCTTTGCTAGACCAGGCTGGCCTCAAACTCATAGCAATCTGCCTGCCTTTGCCTCCCTTAGTTCTGGGATTATGGGCGTGTGCCACCATGCCTGGCTTGGGTATATACTTTTGAATAAATGCAAATGGCTGCTGGACATGGTGATTCATACTTTTAATTCCAACACTCTGGAGGCAGAAACAGGTGAATCTGAATTTGAAGCAGCCTGTTCTATATAGGGAGTTCCAGGGCAGCCAGGGCTGCTGTCTTAGTTCTCTGTTGCTGTACTAAGACACTGTGACCAAAGCAACTTAGGACTTAGAGGTTCAGAGCCCGTGACTGTCATGGTAGGGAATGTGGCAGTAGGCAAGCAGGCGTGACAGTGCAGCAGTAATGAGAGCTTACATTTTGATCCACAAGCATTCAGCACAGAGCTAACTGGGCCTGGTACAGACTTTCCGCCATGATAGACCTCTAACAAGTCGACTTTCTGATCTCTCCCAAACAGTTCCACCAACTGGATATCCCAGTATTCAAATATATGAGTCCACTGTAGCTATTTTCTTAAAAAAAAAAAAAATCTAATGGATATACAAATATTCACGGCAACATTGTTTACTATAGCTGTAATAGGTGGAAAAACTAAAAAATCTATCAATTTATGTATCCATCAGGATTCTGGAAACATGGCTCAGTGGTTAAGAGCACTAGTTGCTCTTCTTCTAGAGGACATAGGTTCAATTCCCAGTACCCATATGGTGGCTCACAACTGTCTGTAACCCTTATTCCAAGGAATCCAACACCCCCTTTTGGCTTCTACAGGGATCAGGCTAGCACACTCTGCATCGACATGCATACAGGCAAAACACTTATACATAGGAAGAAAAAGATCCATTAAGTTTATGCGCTGTCCATATACTCCTGGGTATGAGGCCGTCCACTGAAACTTAGACAACTTAGCAGTTTTCAGGGCGTGGATTGAGTATGATAGATAGTAATAATACATGTTTTTTCCTCTTTGTTTTGCTTTGGATTTAATTTTTAGAGTTCTGACTTTTACAAATTGCATATTTTGTACCTGAGTAGGATGTTATTGTTTTCATGATTGGCCCCTCTGCTTCATTGTGTTTAATTCCCTGGACTGGATGTTCTCACCTGGGTCTGTTCTGTCTTTCCCTCTAAGCTCTCAGAATCTGCAGTGGCAGGAATAAGGTTACGTGTTCACATGAACCTTACATGTTTTAATGTTTAGTCCAGACTCAGACTCAGAGATACTCATTGGTGATCACAGCTATTAATACTCTTAAATTTGTAGCTAAAGCCAAGGCTTTTTTTTTTTTTAAGCCAAGGCTTTTAAACACTAACTTTATAAAGCACTACTTTAAAATATTGCCACATTGTTATCATAGTAAGATGGCAAGTTTTTCCCCCAGGATATCCAAAAATGGAGTGAGTGGGCAGAGAGTGGAGGGAAAATGGGGGGGGGGCTTATTTGCCCTATGGGAGCAACAACTTACATAGGAAAGTAGAGTACAGCCCTGTGCCCTACACAAGGTGCCAGCTCAGAGACTGTCAACAAGTGTTACAGCTTGAAGTCTTCAGAGGGTCTCAGGATGCCAACTAAGAGCAATTCCTTGCAGAGCAGTCTGCAGAAAGCAGGTTACAGCAACCTCGCTCGAGTCTTGGGGGCTGGGACAAAAATAAGTTCGCCCACCTGCAGCTGTAGGTTGAATCCTTGAGGCTGAGGGCGGAGCATTAGGAGTTCCAGTGAGTTCCTCACTTGAAGCAGAAGCTGCCACTGTGGCAGGTCACCAGGGGGTCTGTTTGGAAGGCAGTCTTCTTTTCTGGCTGCAGAACAGGCTGAGTGGATTCTGTCTGGGAACCTTCCTTCTCTTCCCCCTCAGAAAATCTAACCCATATATCCGACTTTATCAAGTTCTCCCTTTCTATCAAACCTAGGAGGGGCAAGAGAAAGCTTACCAAAACTCAAGGGTGTACTCAGCTAGGTCAGTGGAGGGAAGCAGATACTTAGTTTTCAAAAGGGAACCCCAAGATTTTCTCAGCTGTGGGTGGCTAATGAATGTTGCAGAGAGAGGGGCTGCTTTTGTTGCTATGGTGGTGGAGCTGTCTATCCTTAGCAGACAGACCTTCACTTATTAGGGGCTGCAGCCTGCTTCCTGACTCCAGTCGCACTGTGGGTTCTTCCTCTCAGTCTTCTTTTGTTCAGTGTGGTTTTGATTCATTCTAGTCACCACCCCAATGACTCTGGGACTTTTCACATGTTAGGCTGTCAAACATAGCCTCCTGCTTTTGGGGATTCTTGCATGGATTCAGTAGCAACTGGGATCCCCCCCGCCTTGCTTTCTCAGCCGCTGCAGGGAAGTACTTGACTGTTAGAAGGTGGCAGCTCTGTTTGTTGGTTGGTGGGAACCCATCCAGTCACTTGTGACTGTGGGGGCTGCCTTTGGACACTGCTTATATGAGAAGCAGGGGTTTGGTAGTTACTGCTGTAAAGGTCCAGGTGTCTTCACGCCCAGGGTTCTTGGGCCCTGGATACTGTTACAGACCTCAGATTACTGTTGAGAGCTTTTCTCTTGCTGTCAACAGCCAAAATTGCCACTGGGGCCCCCTTTAGCCCTGCAATTGAGCATTCACAGGCTAGACATGTGCAGTTTGTTTATATGTGTAAGCTGTACACGCAGGGCAGCTAGCTCTGACTAGCATTCTGAATTACTTCCCGTATGAGCTATTATAGTTTAGCACTATCTGGTCACCCTCACCTTCACTATTCTCATGTGCACACTAAGGCCGCAGTAAGGAGGTTAAAGAGAGTAGATTGTCTTCATGGTGGGATTTTCCTCCGGTCACACAGCTAGCTCTAATAGTATGAAAACTCTATTCCTCCAAAAAAGCATATACTGTACATTTGAGGGAAATGTTGTATACAGCTTTAAACAGAAATATATTTTGGATATGTTATACTAGTGATAAAATTGTTAAAATAATTCTTTTAATAAAATTATTTTAAAAGGTTATATGAATGAATGTTTTTATTCACGTATATCTGTGTACTGTGTATATGCAGTGCTTGAGGAGGCCACAAGAGGGTATCAGATCCCTTAGAACTAGAGTTATGAATGGCTGTGACTAATCAGGTGAGTGCTGAGACTCCAACCTAGGTTCTCTGTTCTTAACCATGGAGCATCTCTCAAGCCCTCAAGTTCATTATTTTCAGAGGTAAAACTAGCCAGTATAGATGCATTTGTCAACTTTACTTGGTTCACACCAAACTTTGAAATTCTGATCTGTGTGTAAAGATATGTGTGTCTTCCCTTGTGTGTTTTGTAGGTCTCCGTCATGTTTCTGCCCAGACAGAGAGGAAATTATTCCCAGTTTTGGGATGTTGAGTGCCACCCTGCTAAAGAACCTCACATGAAACACACACTGAGATTCCAGCTGTCTGGCCAGGTGAGTATTGTCCTAGATACAGTAAACAACTGGTTGCATATATTAAGTGAAAAAAGTGAAAAAAAAAAACATATTAAGTGAAAAAAACATCTGAAAACTCACAATTGTTTCATATGTTTTCACTTTCACTAACTTGTTGTTAGTTATATCTTAAGTTTCCTGTCAGTCTTTATTAATTAACATCTTTTTAGTCTGCATTTGGTTCTATTGCCTATACTCCACATGAACCCATGTTTTACTTAATTATGTAAGTTGTAATGTGTGTGGGGGTGTCATTGGTACTTGGGGCAGCAGAGCTAGATGATACACCAAACAAAGTTTGCAATTCAAGGGATTTATAAACAGTCATGTCTTTACAGTTTTTTAAAGGAAATAAATGGAATTTCGTAAGGAAATGTTTTGTGCTTTCTGTGCATTTCTCTTCCCACTTTGTGTTTTTTGTTTTGTTTTGTTTTGTTTTTTCTATACAGAGCATCAGAGCAGAAAATGATTCTGAAGACTCATGTTCCAGTGGTAGCCTCATTAAAGTAGATAATGCAGTCGTGTGCCGGAGGCATACTGTGTCTGAGACCTCTCCTCACATATCTGGGTGTGTACACTGTGTCCATCTTGAGAGTTTCTGCCCATGTCAGTGAGGTATAGGTGTAGCACTAACATGTCTTTGTGTTACAAGAGCCACTTCCACTCTTAACCAAGACAGCATCTCTCTCCTCTGAAAAGTTCTAATATGTCCTTTTGAAGTCAAAACCTGCTCTATTCTGGCTTCTGTCATCATAGGATTAATTTTGCTTGCGCTTCATAATCATGTACATTTTTGTGTCTGGCGTCTTTCAACATTACATTATGATTCATTAATGCTTTGAGCATGCAAAGAACTTATTCTTTTTTATTGTTTTATATTTCAGTGACCTATAATTTGGGACTATTATGAATTAAGGAACTATAAACACTATTTTATGTACACTTCTTTTTTGAGGAGGGTCTTTGAGATGGGTCTCACTATGTAGGGTCTGGCTGTCCTTGAACTCACAGAGGTCCAACTACCCTCCGCCTCTTGAGTTCTGGGATTAAAGGCATGACTTTCATGTACATTTCTGAGGATAAATGTTTTTATTTCCCCAAATTGCTGGGTCACATGATAAGCATATATTTAACTTTAAAACAAGTTGGCAAATAGTTTTCCCAAATAGTTGCACTGTTTTATATTTCTGTAAGAAGAGACTGAAAGGAGATTCTGGGGCTGGAGAGATGGTATAGCAGTACTAGCGCTTGCAGCTCTTGCAGGAGACGAGTATAGTGACAGCTCCTTGTCAGGTAGTTACAACTGCCTGTAACTCAGGGTCCAAGAGGTAAAGTGCTCTCCTCTGGCCTGCACGGGCACTGCACACACAGGGCCTTACAGACATACAGACGTGCATACGAACACAAATAAAAACAATCAAACTTAAGAAAGTGGGTCTTTTTGTTTGTTTGTTTGTTTTGGTCAGATTAGCCTACATTTGCTATATAGCAGAGGATGACGTTAAACTTCTCATCTCCTACCTCTACTTCCCAAGGATGAAATGGGTTTACAGGCCTAAACAATCATGCCCAGATTGAAAGTACATCATTATTTTTTTAAGATTGATATTATTTTTAATTTGATGAGTATGTGTGTTTGTGTGAATGTATGCTACTTAAGTACAGGTGGTCTTGGAGTACAGAATAAGGCATCAGATCTAGAACTTGAGTTATAGGCAGTGTGAACCACTGTGTGGGTGAGAACAAGCTCGGGCCCTCTGCCACAGCAGGAAGTGCTCTCCAGCTCTGAAAGTACATACCACCAATTTATACTGTTTTAGTGGTAATATTTATCATATCCAATGAAAATCTTTCTTATGACAGATGAATAATTGTTTAATTTATTTCTGGAAGAAGATTTTTAGAAGAAGGAAATATATTAAAACCTGCTAAGTTTAATATATAAATTTGGTCACCTGTCTTCTAATGCTAGCAATAATGCATTTTGTTTGAAAGAAATTAGAACACTTCATAAAGTGTTTCTTCTATCCACTTATCTGTTCGTCTCATATTCTTTGAACTCTGACGATGCTCAAAGATGCTACAGATGAGGGTAGGGGTGGTGTTGAGTTGCCCTAGTCTCACCTACTCAGTTTTTAAATGGAGGAGTCCTGATAGTCCTTGCCTTTATACTGGTAAGTGTGATCATAAGCTCTGAAAAATACTGGGGAAGTTAACAGGAAATGTGACAGACAGTTAACTGCCTGGGGTAAGTGTCATGTTAGCAGTTTCGAAGTCCAGAGAGTGGTTAGAGAGCAGATTGACAGAAAGTCAGTGTATAGAATTAGGACTGAATCAGACAGTGTACCCATTTCCATGGGAAAGGTCAAAGGTCAGCAGAAAGGTCAGCATCTTTGGACAATTTAGAAGAGCCCATGGAAATAGTGATCCAGATGACAAGAACTGAAGCAAAAATGGGGAAGACGGTGCATTTGCAGTGCTCATAACCCAGCCCACCTGTTAGAGCCTCCCTATGGCATCATTACCTAGACTAGAGAAGCTCCAGTACAGGGAGGGTCCCTGAGTTGGAGAGACAGCACAGAGCTGCATTGTACATCATAGTCCATGAAGACATGTTACAGACTCAATGATTGCCTTTCATTGTCACCCTGTTTCCAAAGCAGACATCTTGACCTGAGTCGTCATGGAGTGTATGCCCCAAAGGATGTCTACCTGTTCCCGCCAACCACAGTTGGGGAATCCAGTACACTGAAAGTCAATTTGCGAAATAATTCATTTTTTACTCATGCAGTAAGTTGAAAATGTTACTGTGGGGTTTCAAAAAATCATTTTCTTAGCCAGGCATGATAACCTATAATCCCAGCACCCAGGGAGGCAGAGGCAGGTGAATTTCTGCAAGCTTGAGGCCAGCCTGGTCTACAAAGTGAGTCCAGGACAGCCAAGCTGTCTCAGGAAAAAATATATATATATATTTTTTTTCTTAAAGATTAGAAATTTATTCTGTTTATTTCATTTGTAATGCATTAATTTTAAAAATGCTTTAATAGTGTATTTGAAAAGAAATTCATACTGTTTTATTTGAAAGTCAAATTTTAAAAAGTTTATTTTCCCCCCTGTAGTCTCTGCCACATAATACATTTATAGATAGCATTTACGTTAGTCAAAACCTTCTCATGTTAAAACTCTTTTAAATGTGTTTCTGTTATAAAAGTTTCTGTTGCCCTGCCTAATTTTTTGACTGAACTAAATTTACACAGTGTATTTTTAAAGCAAAGCCAAGGTTTATATATGACAAATACCGAATTTTCATACCATCACAAACTGTTTTCTGTTAATTTCCAGCTGAAGTTTTTCAGCCCCAGAGAGCCTTTCTACATCAAGCATTCCAAATACTCTTTGAGGTGAGTTTAGCAAGAATCACTCTGTTCTTCTAAAGGGTGGGGTACAGGACCTGCCTCTTGGGGTTGAGGACTCCTTGGCAGCTTCCCTTTTTCATTGCCGGCAATGAGGAGCTTTTTACTCACACTCTTCACAGGTAACCAAGGAAGCAAAGAATCATGCCTGAGTTGTGTCATTAGTCTTTGTGGATCACCTGACAGTGTGGTGGCCCCAAAGGCTTTGATCCAGTGCTAATCCCTCTTACTCAGTTTTGTCTACAGCAGACGTAGCTTGATAACCTCAGAGTTAACTTGTAATAGTCCCTGCCTTAGATGCTGTTTTCACCAGTCAGTGCTGAGATCAGGAATGTAGATTCTCACTAGTTGAGACAGAAATTCTGAAGTGAATAAGGGAAACATTATTGTTAAGTTGCCCAGTGGTTTTCCTTGGGTACCATCTGGCCACTAGGTTATTCTTAAGTCTAGACCGTGTGTTCTTCTGGTTTGTGATATTACAGGTGTTAGCCAGAAAACGACCAGGTCTAAGATAAGTTTGTGGGGTGGGTCGCAGCATTCAGTCTGTTGCTGGTAATAGAATTAGTTACTGTTGAGGCACTACACATTTGTTAAATACTGACATCACCTAAATTCAAATGTAATTTTGACAAGTGAAATGTCAGATTATTTCATGTTTTGCTTCATCTCAATTTTTAACAAGAGTAGTTTTTCTGTTTGAAGCTGCCTGGCTTTAGTCATCATATTGCTGCTGTTTGCTGTAGATTGCATTGTAACAGCCCCAGTTTTACTCAGCTTCCAAAAACCATTTTTAAACTGTAGAAAGTGTAGACAATTGCGGTGGCACACACCTGTAACTTCCTATAAATACCCTGAGAGCTTGTAGCAATTGGAAGCTGCCTTGGGCTACAGTGACAAGACTGTCCCTAAAAAAAAAAAAAAAGTGTTTATTGTTACACAGGTCAAAGTAAACATTATTATAGAGTACATACCATGCATGTCTTTCTGGGTTACCTCACTCAGGATGAACTTTTCTAGCCTGCAAGTTGCATGATGTCTTTGTTTTTAATAGCTGAGTAGTATTTCGTTGTGTAAATGTGAACATAGTTGGGCAGGAGTCCTTGTGGTATGGTGGAGCATCTTTTGGGTATATGTCCAGGGGAGGTAGAGCTGGGTCTTGAGGTAGATCTATTCTCAAGTTTCCGAGAAATCTTGAGATTCATCTCCACAGTGGTTATACAAGTTTGGTATTTGTGGACTTCTTCCCTTAGAGCTAGAAAATGTTGTCTTAAGTTGAAGCCTATTTTATGTACAACCTGGGTGTTTTAGCTATTTTTCTCATAGATGTGACAAAATTCTTAACAAAAAAAGCAACTTTTATTTCAATTCACAGTTTGATTCCACCACGGTGGGCTAGTCACAGAGGCAGGATTGTGAGATTCCTAAATAAATCACATTGGATCCACAGTCAGGAAGCAAAAGAAAGAGGTGTGCTGGTGTTCAGCTTGCTTGCTTATTGCTCAGAGCAGGACCCCAGCTCATGGAGTGGTGCTGTGCATAATTTGTGTAGGTCTTCCACCCAAATTTACTCAGTCCAAAAACTACCACTCAGGCCTTAGATTACTAGATCCTGTCTGGCTGACAGTGTTAATTATCATATTGGAGCATATTTACGGCATCTAAGGAAACTTAGAAACACAAGAGCGTATACTTTTTTTGTTTTGATTTTTGAAGAATGATTATTTTTAATTATGTGTATGTGGGGGGAGGAGTTTACCATGCACTGGTGTGTGTGTGTGTGTGTGTGTGTGTGTGTACACACCACAAGTGAAAAGTGGACAGTTTTTCAGCAACTGGTTCTCTCTTCTTAAAAAGATTTATTTACATTTTCTGTGTATGAATTCTTGCCTGCACGTATGTATGTATGTGTAAACTGTGTACTTAGTGCCAGCTAATCCAGAAGAGGGCATTAGATCCCCTGGGATTGGTGTCACAGATTTAGTGAGCCACCATGTGGGTACTGGGCATTGAACCTGTGTCCTCAGCAGGAACAGCCAGTGCTCTTAACCACTGAGCCATCTCAGCGTGTTCTTCTGCATCTGAAAGCCAGTGCTTGCTTTCATTAGGAAACATTAATAACAATGTTTAGTAACAAACTAGCACTTTGACATTGTTAGTAAAAATAAATGCCACTTCTGATTGCCAGACTTCAAAATGTGTCACTTAGGGGAGAGACTAAGATTGCCACAAGGGAAAGCATGAAAAGCTACTGACTTTGACTAGTAGTGATTAAATCAAAAGTTGTATGGGCAGGGTATGCAGAAAGTATAGAAAGATGATTCACCATAGCCATAAAGTATATCTGGGACACAGTTTTATGGACAAGAACAATCCTCCATTAATATTGCTCTGAAACATAGAACTTTCTCGCCAGTCTATATAATTCAAAAATAAAGCTTCAAGAATACTTTTTATAAAATTATCAAATTTTAGCGCAAAATTGCACAGTAGTGTTGTGATAAGAATGGGATAGGTTTTAAGTTTGTTTTTTTTTAACAATACAATACGCTGCTTGAATGAAGTAAAGCCATGATTTTTAGCATTTTTTTTCTCACCTATAGGTAGATAGCGACGTATTTTTTGCATATGTGGTGAAGAGAAGCAAAATACATTTCCTTTTTCCTATTAATTGGCTATCCAGAGACAGTGTTCCAATATGTGTTAATCCTGTTGGCATATTTTATTTTGTTTGTTTTAGGGCTGGGGTGTAGCTCAGTGGGGGAGAGTGCTTAACCTTTATCATGTGTGAAGCCCTGAGTTCGATAACTAGCATCACAAAGCCCTAGTATGGGAGATGTGGGTAAGGATGTTTAAAGTTCTAAGTCTTTCTTGGTCATACAGCAAGTTTAAAAGCAGTTTGAACTACATGAAAACCCTGTCTCAAGAAAACCAAGTGCTGCAGATTAAACCACAGGCCTTAGGCATGCTCAGCAGACACTCTACAGCTGTACTATCTTGATTTTAGATTTTCCTTTCCTTTCTTTAATCTTGTTAGATATTAGCATTAAAAAATTAGAAGTATACTTGAGTATAGTGCTTCTTGGTTCTTTCATCAAGCCTGTGGCAGCACTGTACTGCAGTGGGTGACTGATACTGCTGTCACGTCTTCTCTCCACAGAGCCCGGCATTACATCCACATCCCGGTGCACTTCAGACCACAGCTGGTAGGCAGGTTTAAAGCTCTGCTCGTGATCCAGACAGACGAAGGCAAGAGTATTGCTATTCGACTAATTGGTGAAGCCGTTGGAAAAAGTTAATTAGAATACAGTTTATGTAAATGACCTATTATATTTTGGCAATCTCATTTTTCTACACTAAAATTATGCTGTTGTATATATTTTGTATGATAAATTCAATGTGTATAAATTATAGATTTGTTTTTAAAGAATTCAGCCCTGAAGCCCTGACTAAATATCATGTATCTAGCTCACAGTATTAACATTTTACAGGGGAGAAGGTTCTATTTTTGCACAGATTATGACATTCTGAATAAATATGACATGTTTTAATGTGGTATATTCAGAAATAAACTCAATATTTTAAACTGAACTTGTCTTTTTATATGCTGCCACAGTATTAAAATTAGAGTATTGCTTTATCCTGCTGATTGTTCTCAAGCTTCAGAGTGTGCTCTGATTTCTTTTCTTCTATTACAGTTTCCTTTCCCCTAAGAAATTTCTTCTGTCTGAGAGATGGCTGCTGAGATAGAGTCTTCATATTCTGTGTAAAGACAGTGGGAAAGCATGTTTGTTTCCTAGTGTCACTTACTGTATTTAGTGTTGGACACAACAGCTGCTCCAGATCCACTTTGGACATGACCTTTGCAGTTACGTATTGCCTGGCATTCTGTGACACCCAAAGGGAGGGCCTAAGGGGCAGTGCATGTGAGCTTAGGAAGGCAACATGCCACCCAAGAGGCGCAAGGTGAGTCACTGCCTCCTGCTAGTCACTGGTGCATCTCCTGACCGTGGCCACAGGCCCAGCCAGCTGCCTTCTGAGAAGTAGTATAAGCCCGCAACATAGGTTTTGGTACAATTGTGGCCCTGAGGTCTCAGCTAGGTAGCATTTTAAGCCTGGATAAAGTTGCCTGGACAACTTATATCCAAGTACACTTAAAAGGCAAGAATGTGAGTCTAATATTAAAGTGAATTTCTGCATTCTCATTTTTCTTTTGCCTAGAGATCGACTTGCAAAGCCAGATGTGATAACTCATGCCTGTAATGCCAACACTTAGGAACCTGAAGCAAAAGGATTGGCATGAGAGGCCAACCAATGATGCAATTGAAAAAAAAAAAAAAAAAAGAAAAGAAAAGAAAAGGAAAGAGTGGCCCTGGTGGCACACCTCTATAATCCCAGCACTCAGGGAGGCAGAAGCAGACAGATCTCTATGAGTTCAAGGCCAGCCTGGTCTACAAATCAAGTCCAGGACAGCCAGGGATACACAGAGAAATCCCATCTCAAAAAATAAAACAAAAACTTAAGAAAAAAAAAAGGTAGAAGGGAGAGAGATTTGCAGTTTTGCAAAACTTGTTTTTTGAGCCAGCAGCTCATGTAGCCCTGGCTCTCCTAGAACTCAGTTTGAAGAGCAGACTGGTCTTGAATTCCTGGAGATCTAGCTGCCTCTGCTTCCCAAAGTGCTGGGATCAAGGGTGTGTATGACCACACATGGCTCTGTGCAAAGAGTTTTCAGCCAGTTTTATTGTAGATTATGTCACATGATGTGACGTTTGTATGGGCATTTGACCACATTCAGCTTCAGAAATGTTAAGAGTAGTCTGTTTTGTAATGTTCCCTCTGCTTCTTCATTTTCTAAGGGTGTGTGCTGTTTGTTTCTGTGGAACTACTGCTTTGCCTTCCTGCTATATTCAGGAGGAGAAAAAGTATCAAAACAAATGGAACACTTTAAAAGTAACTCCACCTCCACAGTCCGTCTACTTTTTCTGGATCTTCAGTTTCTATGCCTCATCATCTTGGAAACATAACGTTTGGGGTCTTTACAGCAGCTGGCTATGAACAGTTGATTCCTGAGCCCGTCCCCACTGCTGAAGCAATAGCAGGCCACTGCCATGTTCATCAGAGTCACTAACTGTGCTCACGTCTAATGGGTGAGCTTCCAGGGCACTGCTTCCTGATGACCTTTCCATCTGGGAGCTGCTGCCAGGCTGCCTTTTGCTCTCCCCTTGTCTGGATACCAGTCTTCCTCTCCCTGGGTTCCATCCTGGCTCATGTGTCTGCTGGGTTATCAGATGGGCAGTTCCAAACTTTTGGTTTCCTATCAGCTCTACATGTGTTTCTCCCTGTTTTTGCTCAGCTTGGTAAATGACACTGTTTATCCCAGCCCTCAGCTAAAACCCTGGGTTTGGATGACTTGCCCTCATCCCCTAAGTTTGCCTCTCAGAGGAGTGTCTGAAGTAAGCCATCTTCAGGCCACTTTTATTTAGCATCTGCCACTGCAACCTTAGAGCCCCTTTTCACCATAAGCAGAGCTACCTCTTCCTGTAAACCACTGCCTGTGCCTCCTCCTTTTCACAACAGGAAGGCTTGCTCTGGGACCCGGACACCAGGAGACCTTCCATACTCTGCAGGGCCCTGCTTGTTTCTCTCACTGATCCATAGCTGGCCTGTCGGGTTCCCATAGCTGAGCCCTTCTTTCCTTATCTCAAAAGCTCTTTGGAGCATCGATGGTCCTTCCTGACTACTTTCACCCAGGGTCGGGGGAGTCTTCCTTGATCTGTCCTCCCCAGTGTCCTCCCCTCTTCATGTGATCTGTCTTAGGTGTTTCCTGGGTGAGCCTGCTTTGCTCAGCGGATGTAAGCTATGGAAAGTGGAAGGCCTGAGGCTCCTTGCTCATCAGGTACCCCTAACCCCTGGACACACTTGACATGGCATGCACATTGTCGGTGGCCATCTGGCAGCACCTGCCATAGCCACCATACACTCCCATTCTGGGAGGTTTTCATGCAGTGCCTACATGCTCATCCCTGTGTTTATAAACCCCACCTTCCTGGGAGGCATGATCCTTCCATTGCTGCCCCCGCCCCCAGCCACATCCAGGCTTCTTATGTGGCTTTCCTCTAGTTTCCCACACGTTTACCACCAGAGCTGGTTGACTGCTGACTGCCTTCCAAGAGCAGAGGGTGTAGGTACCTCTGTCATGCTTCTCAGTGACTTGGCAGACAATGGGCTTTTTATGTGGGGAGGCTGGCTGGGACAGGCGCTTTATTCCTACCGTGGTTTCCATCACAAAAGGAACATTTTAACAGGTGGCTTTATGGGAGCAGGCGTGGCTTAGAATTGATGCTTTCACAGACAGGCTAAATACAGAGAGGTTATTTGGCCAAAAGTCACATGGTTACAAGGTTAATTTTCCTAACTTGAGCACCCAGTTGTAGATAACAGAGGCTACTCTTGACATAATTAGTGAAAACGTTGGATTTTGTGATCACCTTAAAAGTTGTATTCTCTGATTGTGAGGCAGCCCCAGGATTGCCTTGTAGTGTATTCTGCTGGCTTAGCTTATGAGAGTCCACAGTAGTAAGGATGATCTTGTCAGGTAATAAACTCTGGGTTACGATGACTTTCTATGTATAATGAAAATATTTTATGGGAGAGAATCAATTAGGGCAGTTTCTTATGACTCTAAAATTGTTCTATTTGATCTTTCTGGTATTTTTTTTTTCTTTTTCAAGAAAGCATTTTTCTGTGTAGCCCTCAATGTCTTGGAACTCATTTTGTAGACCATGCTGGACTTGACCGCAGAGATCTATTTGCCTCTGTCTCCCCAGTGCTGGGATTATAGGCATGCGTTACCACTGCCCTGCTATTTGGTTTTTCTTTCTGTTTGTTTAAGGATTTGTTTATTTATGTTTGTAAGTGCTCTGTTTACATGTGTGCCTGCATGACAGAAGAGGGCATCAGATGCTATCTATCATAGATGGTTGTGAGCCACTGTGGCTGCTGGGGATTGAACTCAGGACCTCTGCAACAGCAGCCAGTGCTCTTAAGTGCTGAGCCAACTCTCCAGCCCCTTATTGGCCTTCCTCCTTTTTCAATTCAGCTATTTGTGAGTTTTGATACTAAACATGGAAGAGTCTTTAATTTACAAAGGTTTGATGACAGTCTTGATCTGAAGCCAGAAACTAGTTTCTCAGCCTCTTCCTGGACTGTTTTCTGTCTGTCCTTTTCCTCAGTGAGAGCTGACACATTAATCTTGAAGGTTGGGAGCTGTGGTTGGGTTGGATATCTGTATTTCATGCTGCTTCACCAACTAGTCAGAGACATACTGGCACCTGAACATGTGACTGTAAATTTTATACAAGTCATCTTTTTAAGTTTCCTAGCTGGCTTTTATTGAATTGAAATGCCGCTTTGTAAATTTCTACCCCAATTCTGGCTGCTTACCAGTTTACCTTGTGTGGGTCAGGACTCTTTGTCTCCAAATCTCTAACTACATCCAGAAATCTCACAGAACCACTACTGTCCTGCTAGGGACATATTGCATTAGTGAGCTAAACAATTAAAGTATTATTGTTATTTTATTTTATTTTTTATTTTTATTTATTTACTTATTTATTTTTTACTGGTTAAGTCAATTTATTAACATAGTTGACTCAGGCATCTGCAATGGTGATTCCAACGTCCACTCCTGGCTCAGTACCGATGGAAGTGATCTGCTTAACAATCTGCGAAGGACTGTGTAAGCCAGTAGTTTGTGGAGTTGCTTGTGGATTCTCATTTGGAAACGATCCCATGTCTTGGAACCTTCATCACAAGTGTTTTTCTTGTAGTGTTTCTCAGTGTCTTGGTAGGCATGCGCACCCATCCTTTTACTTTCAGATTCTTTCCCTTTGCTCCTCTGATCAAGTCGGCACATGCGTTCTCCAGCGACTTCATGTTGTTGCTGGTGAGTGTGATTTGAATCTGGTGAATCGCCACCTCTGGTTCTATGGGCATCTTGCCGGTATCTTTAAAAGCCATGGCTGCAGCCTGACTTACTGACCGACTTGTTCCTCAGCCGGAGCCAAAAGCGGTGAGTCAGGATGGGAGCAGACTGAACACAGTGACACGCACGACCACATTGCAGAGAGCAAGTTGTTTTTTTTTTTTTTAACTTTTAAAAATTTATTGTTTGACAATTTATTCACTTTGTATCCTGGTTGTAGCCACTTCCCTCATCTCCTCCTGCTCTCACCCTCCCTCCCTCTTCTTCCCTTATCCCTCTTCCTCAGTGGTGACACATCACGCTGCACAGCAATAGGATTTGCTGAAGGAGGCGGAGGCAGGAGGATCAAGGCCAGCCTGGGCTACACATTTTAAAAACGATGCAGAGACCAAAGACCGTGCATGAAGTATTAAATTTACTTTTCCTTAGAGAAGAATCACTTATTTCACTTAAAAAAAAAACAAAAACCCACCATCTCCTGTATTAACCTATTCTGGATAGGAGGGTGAGCAGACAGCTTTAAAAATATTTAGAACCGTAACATTTTAAAAATACTTTAATACTACCATAGAGTGTGGTGAATGTATTAGACAGCTTCTGTAATGGC